ACTTAGCTGTTCTTGTCAGAGGAGGAGCTCAGGACCTCGTTGTCACTGAGAATGGCTCTAGTTCACTTTGGGGGAGCTCTGGTCCTCACTCTGAGCATCGCTTCCTGGCTCCAGAAGGAAAGGTGGTACACTGCTCAGTCTCCAGGAGAAGCTGGTTGCGTTGGCTTTCCTGTTGGGAACTCTGCTGTCCTCATCATCAGAGGAGCTCGGACCTCACTGTTGCTGAGGATGGCTGTGGTACTTTTCCGGCGCACTCTGGTCCTTACTTTGAGCATTGTTTCCTGGCTCCAGTGGAGATCCCTCCTCCTGCCAGTACAGATCCTTCATCCCACTGGCACAGACTTTCTAGCTTCCACCACCAACCTTTGGACCTTCCCAGTGCAGATCCATGAAACAGGCCCTGCATAAGACATTGTCATAGTCTCCAGGCCTCCAATTGTACCCATGGGAGGCATTGTTATGGGCTCTAGGTCTTCAGCTGGACTCATGTAGGACATTTCCGTTGGATCCAGGCCCTCAGCTAGATTCTTTTGTCTTTAGTGTGTGGACAGATTTCCTGTACTCTTTTTGTATGATTCTTTGGGTAGCTATTATAAATAATCTTATAAAATGTGTCCTGTATTATATTATTCCCCTTGCAAAACTCCAAACTTGGGGCTGGGGATTTAGCTCAGCAGCACAGCACCTGCCTGGCAAGCGTGAGGTCGTGAGTTTGATTCCCGGTACCAGAAAAAAATTAAAAAAAAAAAAACTCCAAACTATGACACCATCTTTAAAATTAAAAGGAAAGTATGAGAATAATATCTCACCAAGTAGGGAATATCAATAAAGAGAAGTTATGAGCAAGCCAAAACAGAAATTGTGGAGTTGAAAAATTTAACTAAAATGAAAATTTTCCTAGACAAACTCAATAGCAGTTTGTTTTTTTTTTTCGTTTAGTTTTTAAAAGGAGGAAATTTTTTTGAGGGAAAGACAGCTCCTGCCTAAGAGAGACTGGAAGAGACCCAGAAAGTAGTGGGTTGCTCTCAATAGCAGATTTGAGTGGGAAGAAAAAAAAAGATGAGCAACTTCAAATACAGGTTGAGATTGTCCAAGCCAAAGAACAAAACAAAACAGAATGAAGAATAATTAACAGAGTCTCAAAGACCTGTGGGCACCATCTAGTGTACCAACATATGTATAATGGGAGTGCCTGAACAACAAGAAAGAAAGGAGCAGACAGATTGCATAAATAGTGACCTGAAACTTCCACAGTTTGGTGAAAAACACATACCAAGAAGTTCAGTGAACTCCAGGTAGAATAAACTTGAAGATATGTGTGCCACAAGATATCTTATACTGTCAAAAGCTAAAGATTTTAGAAAGCAGTAGAAGTACATCATCACATGTGAAGGATCCTCAATAACATTAACGGCTATATTTTCATCAAAAACTGTAGAGGCTAGATGTAATGATATGACATATTCAGAATTCTGAAAGGAAATTGTTGACCAAGGATTCTGTATCTAGCTAAATAATCCTTTATAAACAAAGAAGAAATCTCAGCATTCCTAAATAAATAAAAGCTAAGGTACTTTATTTCTCATAAACCTACTGTACAAGAAACATTGGAGGACATACTTCAGGCTAAAATAAAAGGACACTTAGAGAATAACACAGATCCCTATGAAGAAATAAGTGATACAGGTAACTGCATCAATAAGTGGGCTGGGCTTGTGGCTTGGTAATAGAGTGCTTGCTTAGCATGTGCCAAGGCACTGGGTTTGATTCCCAGCACCACCAAAAACAAAAATAAATCAGCATTAAGTGTATTTTCAAATTTATAATTTTTTTCACATCTGATTTTAAAACAACCAAATAAAATAATAATTACACATCTGTGTTGATAGGCACACATTATATATAGTAAGGTAGAACTTATAATAACATTACAAGGAGGTAGAAGGAACAGAGTTTTCGTATGCTATTAAAATTAAATTGATATTAATCTAATCATTGTAAGATGTTAATTATAATCCAGGGTAATCACTAAAAAGACCTACACTATATATGATAAGTTACAAAGCAATTTAAATGGTACTCTAGAAAATACCTAGATTATTTAACACAAAATGAACGTTAATGGAGTTATACAAGAACAAAAAAGATACGGCATAAAGAAAATAAGTAGTAGTTGGGGCTGGGGATTTAGCTCAGCAGCATAGCACCTGCCTGGCAAGTGCAATGTTGTGAGTTCGATTCTCGGTACCAGAGAAAAACAAAAACAAAAAAAAAGGAAGGAAGGAAAAAAACAAGTAGCAAAATTAATGATACAATTTTTCTTTGTCAGCATTTACATTAAACATAAATGGATTAAATGCTCCAATTAAAAGGGAAAGATTAGCCAGGCATTGTGGTGCAAACATGTAGTTCTAGCATTTGGGAAGCTAAGGCAGGAGGATGATGAGTTCAAGACCAACCTGGGCTACATAGAGAGGCCCTGTTTCCCCCCTCTCCACCACACCAAAAAAGGCAAAAATTGATAAAGTAGATTAAAAACAGAATCCAAGTATATGCTATCTACAGAAACAAATAGATTCAAAATAAAAACATATGCTCCACAATAAGTAACCAAATCTAACCTAGAGTGGTTAATGCTAACATCAAAACAGACCTTAAAACAAAAATTATTACTAAAGGCAAAGGATATTTAAAAGTGTTATATACTTTATATGTTATATATTATTTCATAGATATATATTATGTAATTGTTCATAAATTTCTAGAAAGAAAGAAAGTGACTTTAGGAAGAAATAAAAATCTGACCATAACAAGTAAGAACACTGACCCAAAGTAATCAAAGTGTTTATGATCTAACTCGGTGGTAGAGCATGTGCTTAGTATACACAGGGCCTTAGATTCAAACACAAGATGAAAGAAAGGAAGGAGAAATAGAGAAAAAAAGACAGGAGAATTAATAATCAGACTTCTACAGCAGGGAAGCCCAGGTCCAGATGGCTTTACTGGTAGCTTGTCAAACATTTAAAGAAGAATTAACACCAGTCATTACAGAAACGAAGCACTGTGAGGAAGATTTTTTGTTGGGGAGGGAGGAAGATTTTTAAAACACTCTGTGAGGACTGTGTTATTCTTATACTAAACATACAGGCCTAACAAGAAAACTACAAATCAGTATCCTTTATGAATATAACTGTAAAAATCCTCAACAAAATTTAAAAAATGAATCCAGCAGCATAAAAAAGAAATTACACCTTTTAGGCAAGAGAAAATTATCCAAAGAAAATGCATGCTTTGTTAGCATAAGAAAACCAGTCAAAAGTAAGACACCACTCTACAAGGTAAATAACATAAGCCTTACAGTTATCTCAACAACATAGAAAAAAGTGCTCATAAACCAATACCTTTTTGTAATTAAAAAAATACTCAGCAAACTAGAAATACAAGGGAGCTACCTCAGCCTGCTAAAGAGTATCTCTGAAAAAGAGGTAGCTGACAAGCGAACAAACAAGCTAACAAAAAAATGAAAAGCTTTTTCTCTAAAATGGAAGCTTTTTCTCTAAAATCAGAAGTAAGACAAAGTAGCTACTCTTCCCACTGTGTTTAACACTATACTGGAGCTTCTAACTTGGACAACTGAGCAACTAAAAAAAATACAGTAAAAGTCTTCGAGTTAAAAAGAAGACAGGAAACCTCTGTGGTTCACATAATCTTATATATAGAAAATACAGAGTATTAAGAAATTTAAAAACTATTAGACCTAATAAGCAAGTGTAACAAGATTACAGGATAGAAGATCACTATACAAAAAGCAGCTGTATTTCTATTAATCAGCCTTGAACAACTCAAAAGTAAAATTAAGAAAACAGAGCCTGGAGCAGCTCGATGGTAGAGTACTTGCCTAGCATGCAGGAGGCCTTGGGGTTAGTCACCAGCATCACAAAGAAAAATGGAAGGAAAGGATGGGATAAGGAAGGAAGAAAGGAGAAAATAATTTTGTTTATAGTAGTATCAAAAAGAATAAAATACTTAAGAGTAATGAAGTGCTGATATGTCCTTTGAGGATAAATCTTGAAAATTGCTGAGAAATCAAGCAGAAATAGGCCCGTATTATAGTGCCTCATTGATTTGAAATATGCAGAATAGCCAAATCTAGCCAGAAGGAGAGTTAGTGGGTTTGGTGGGAGGAGGGAGGCTACATATAGAATTTCTTTTTTGAGTGAAGAAAATACTGGAATTATTTTGAAATTAAATGCGGTGAGTGTAGTAAAAAAAAATCACTAAAAGGTACATTTCTAAAAAGTGGACTTTCAAGTACTTGAAGCATTTCTCCATTTTTGTGTCTGTTTGTGTTTACACAAGTGTCTTTCACCACATTTTGTTCTAAAATATCCTTAATAGGGTATCATACTTCATTTGAAATGTTCAGTGATATTTTGGAAGGTACTTAATTTGTGATCTTGTTCAACAAATTATGTGCTTTTAAATCTAGATAGGGTGTCTTCAGGTCTTTCCTATAACAAAAGAATTTTCCTATAACAAAAGAATTCCAGAAATAATTCATTAAAAGTTTTATCTTACCTCCAATGATCTGTAAAAGTTTATCTTCCTTTAGAGTTATTCCTTAATTTGTTCTCTTGGGAATTAGGATTTTCTTTATGCACAAAGTAGAACTATTTATATATTGTTTTCAGTTTTTTATCACCATCTTCAGCTAGATATGAGCAAATGGTTCTCTAAGAACCATTTGTCAAAGGAAGATACATTTCTCAGTAGATGGATTGCAAACTTTCTGGGGGGAAGTGTTTTGGTTTTACTCACATGGCATTAAGCAAAGTATTTTTAGTGAATAAAATTCTTTTGAATGATAGTAAGTTTTTGTTGTACTTTACATATATTTTAGTGGTAAAATTATTGCAGCTAATCTGTGCCTTCTCAGATAACAAGGCATTGTGATTTTTAATCAAATTTTCTCTCAAATTAAGATTTTATTTGATTTACAGGTAAATAGTGTTGATCTCAGAGCTGCTAGTCATGAGCAGGCAGCTGCTGCATTGAAAAATGCCGGCCAAGCCGTAACAATTATTGCGCAGTATCGACCTGAAGGTAATAAAATTATTTCTGTCTATGATTAGTGCTTTCTTTGGTCTTCAAAATTCTTCCTTCTAATGTTTATTTTCCAAGCTTAACTTTTTTTTGTTTTGTCTGATTTGTTGTTAGTCGTAAACCTACTTTTCCAGATCAAAAATGTTTTTAATAAGATGTGGAAACTCTTATCTGCCAATTCTTTTGAGCATTGTACCATTACTTGAATTAACTTTCAAGTGCTACTTTTTAAAACTCTAACCTCTGGCCAAATATGTACCTTTTAACATACATTTTACTAGCCCATTAATCTGAAAGAGTAATAAAAGCCATAAACAAAAGTAGAAATATTGCCAGAGAAGGGTCTTTCAAATTTTTCTGACTTTTGAAATAGACTGTAAATATCAAGGTTTAAGGACTGTTTCTCATAACCATTAAATTCTTGCCATGTTAACCATATAAGACTCTGTGCATCAACTCAGCCACTTTAGCAGTGAAACCCCAGGGGGATTTAAAAAGCTGAACAAGAATACATAGCACACTTGGTGTTCATAAACAACATGAGGAGGGTATATATACCTTACCTAGAAAAATTAACAAGAATTTTGAAGAAAAACATTTTTATTATGTTCCACTGTTGGGTGCATTCCAAAAATGGATTAAATGAGAGATTCTGTTATTTAGAAGTTAAATGAAACCTTTGTGATTTAGTAACTATTACATTTATTATACTTGGAATAGAATTAATTTTTGTAATAAAACTTTTATAGCTAATCAAAGTAACACGGTGGGCATTCTATATGTCCTAATATGCAGTAGATTCTGTCAGTCTATAAAACCCATCTTTGTAGGCTCAGTAACTGAATGAGGATAAATTATAATGGATAACTTTCAAACAAACATTAACAAAAGAAAAGGAACTAACATAAATCAGAATGCTAGTTTATTGATTTTGTGAGAAATCTGCTGGTGTGGACCACACATGCTTTTATTTTTAGGGACACCACATTCCCACCCTATAAGTACACTGAATGGAAGCCAGACTATAGTTACTGGTTGTTTAGTATAATGGCCAGCCTCTCACTTGTAAGCTTACAATGAATAAAGGCTGTGAAGTAAGACTGAGGGCAGGTCATTATCTGGCACCTACCTCCTTGAAAAACATAAAAGGAACAAGGCAAATAAAACATACATGCACTTTTATCCACATAGCTCTACCCTATGTTAAGCAAAACAGAGAAGACAGGTGTATTACTGCCTGGACAGCAAAATACAGACAGAGGCTGCTTAAGCAGCTGAGATCTGATAGAAGCCATGTGGCTGGCTCCAGGGCCTAGGCAGGGAAAATAAGGAGGTTATTCTGCAATATCCTGTGCCAGAAACACACTTGAGACATGTCAAAAGGACGTAGATTCCATCTGCAAAGGACTCCTGCTGGCCAAATTAGGAACAGTTTCAGCATAGTTGGTGAAAGTAACACCAGACTCTAACCCACTGAATAAATTAGGAAATTATGAGTCCTTACCAATATAAATTAATTGCAGACTTGATGAGAATAAAGTGGTATACTCAGTTTCATTAACTTATTTGCATAGCAAAAAGTCACAGTGGAAAAATCTGGCAGAAGCAAGCTTTATCAAGTGATCAAAGACAACAAAAACCATCCAAGTCAGTAAAGGACAAATCAGAATTACTTACCATCTGGTAGGGTACTTGGGAAAAACATAACATCTCCTCTGTGGTATTCCTGCCAAAATTGCATAACCCCAATATAGTCATTTTTAGAAGCATCAGACACTCCCAGAATGAGAGCAGTTCTACAAAATAATTGACTTACGATTGTCAGTATCAAGATCCCAAAGACAAGGAAAGACTGCGGTACTCTTCTGGCTGAAAGAAACTTTAAAAAATACAACTAAATGCAGTACATTTTTTTAACTGGATCCCTCTGATATAAAGGACATTATTGGTGAAACTATTGCAATATGAACATTCAGTGGAAGTAACATTAATGTTACTTTGCTGATTTTGATGGTTTTGCTGGAAAATATATTTATTTGAAGGAGATACATACTGGCAGATTCAGAGTTGATGAGACATCAAGGAAGCAAGTTACTCAGATGGTTCAGGAGAAACTAAGTGTGATTTTTAATCTTTAAGAAGTATATATTAAGCAGGGGGGTAGTTTACAGTGAGAGATAAGAGAAGTTAGGCAAGCTGAGCATGGTGCTGCAGGCTGTCATCCCCTCACTCAGGATGCTGAGGCAAAAGGATCATAAGTTCAAGGCCAGCCTGGATTACATAAAGAAACTGGCTCAAAAAAAAAACGGAATTAGTAAGCAATGACTATTCAGTATGTACAAACTGAGTCCACTAGAGAAAAAAGCGCAACAATTAAACAGAACACTAAAAGTCTATACAAGAAATTTTTTTCCAAAATATTTCAAGCCACATACCAAAAGAACATTCCAACCCAGTGTGATAGTGGCACACACCTATAATCTGTGCTACTCGGCAGGGTGAGGCAGGAGGATTTCAAGTGCCTCAAAACAAAAAGGGCTGAGGATCTATCTCAGTGCTTCCTAAATTCAATCATTAATATTGAAGGATTGGGGGATTAACATTCCACATACCTGGGGTGGACATTTAGCTCAGTGGCATAAGCGCCTGCCTGACAAGCACAAGGTCCTGAGTTCGATCCCTGGTACCAAAAAAATAAACAAACAAACATTCCACATACCTAAGATGATAACCCAGTACTGTAATACTAACAAGTTACTGAAGTTTGATCCCTAGCACAAGGGGGATGGAGGCTTTTTTCCTTCCCGAGGGAGTCTAGATGGAATTGAAGTTGAATATAAAAACAAATGAACCTCAATTTGTATTAGCAGCGTAACACAAAGGAGGAACTTTTCCAAATAATGTTAAAACGGTAACTCCGTATATACTTTGTGGGCTGTGCCCCAAGAATAAAAAATTTAGGAAAGCAGTTACTAGTTTTCAGTAATCACCATGATGTTTCAGTATTGTTACTGCTGTTGTGAATGTAACATTTGTGTTTTTTTTTTTTTTTTTTTTTTTTTGGTTTTTCTCCGGTACCGGGAACCGAACTCACGACCTTGTGCTTGCCAGGCAGGCGCTTTGCCGCTGAGCTAAATCCCCAGCCCCGAATGTAACATTTGGATAAAACAGGTTACGCAGGACTCTTAATTCTGTTATCTGTCATAACTTGAGAACCAGGATTTTTCATATTCAAGAAAATAGAAATAAATGTAAGATTAGGAAAGTTAAATTTAAAACTCAATGCTGGGCATGGTGGTGCCCACCTATAATCCCAGCACTCAGGAGGCTCAAGCAGGAGGATTGCCGTGAGTTCGAGCCCAGCTTGGGCTATATAGTAGATTCAAGACCATCCTAAACTGCATAGGGTGACCCTGCCTCAAAAAAGAGAAAAAAAATTTAAAACCCAGGGGTTCTAATTTTTAATTAGAGAACCAGAACAAAACTTAAGATATACTTTATATGTGAGTAGTCTTGTATCTCCTTTCATTCCTCTAGTTGTTAGCTATGTCTCTATATACTAAAGATTTACCATGAATTGATAATTGTTGAATTATAATAGTCTTCTAATGTTTTTAATTTTTTATTATGCTGTAAAACTGAAAAATATTTTGCTAGATATTAAGGTGACTGTTTAAATGTTTCTGAATTCATTGATAAATTGTTGCTTCAGTTAATAGTGGTACTCATAAAACAAATGTGATGGCTACAGTGAAAGGAAGAATGACTCAGCAAGATTCAGGCTTAGTCTGTCTTCTTAAACTTAAAACCTCCCGGACAGGTTGTTTACCATAAGACTTAAGTTTATAAAAAAAAAAAAAACAACAGATTTTATCTTACCTAATTGTAAAGAAAAATTACTATAAAGATGTAAGTGTATAACTATGTAATTGCAATATTTTGGGAAAAGTGCTATTTTAATTTAGTTTTTGATATATGATACAGTTTAATATAATCCATCTTAAATATCATAACTTGCTTTTCTGTTAAACTATTTTCTATTAAACTGTCTTAAAAATGTTTATAATGTTACTTCATATTGCTTTTGTGTCTTACTTTGACATTTTGACAGTTTATAAATTAAACAAGTTAAAATAAATTTAACTTCATTTATCAGTTTGTTAAGGCATGTTTTTCCTAGTACTGTGGACCCACAAATTCTGTGTTTAAGAACTTAAAATTAAGTCTTTCCAGGGAAAGAAGTCAGCAACCAAAGCATCTATTACGTTAATTACTACAGGTTTATTTTTTTAATGTAAAAATTGAAATATATCCTGTTTTTTTAGTTTTTACATTTACAATTAGTATGTAAGATTGCTAGTACTCTTTCATTAGTGGAATTGTCTTTCAGTTAATTAATGATGATATGGATGTGAGGAAATTCTAATAGCTAATTTTAATTTATGATACATTTAGAAGGTTGTTTTCTCCTGGACAAAATTTTATACAGGTTATTACTTTAGGAGTCTAATTACAATTGATCAATTTTAGGATAGTTTGCACATTTAATATATTGTTTTTAAGTAACTTATCAAGACTATAAAATATATTTATTTCTCTCTTCCTTCAGAGTACAGTCGTTTTGAAGCAAAAATACATGACTTACGGGAGCAGATGATGAATAGTAGCATTAGTTCAGGATCAGGCTCTCTGAGAACTAGCCAGAAGCGATCCCTCTATGTCAGGTAATTTTTAGTTCTAATTATGGTAACCCTTAATTATTTACACGTATAAATTCTTTCAGATTTTTCACTGTGACTTACTTAGGTTTACTATAGAAAAATATATTGTAAATCCATAAAATGCTTTTTTAATGATTTCCTGATAGTATATCTTTCGGAAGCTGGAATATTACTGTTACACTAATAGAAGTTATACAGTGTAAGCCTTTGAATAGTAATGATGGATAAGGAAAGTCAAAATAATCATGGGCTTGAAATTTTTTTAGGTTGACATTTTAGTAGTGACTGCAGACTGGGTGTATCCTCCCATACTTAGATTTACCTGTGTGCTTTTATAGGCAAATGTGCTGCATTTGAGTAACATTTAATTATGTGGCAGTTCCCATAATAGCAAAGTGAGCTTATGAAAATAATAGTTTAAAAATATATATATATAAAAGACATATGAACAGCCTCACAGAAATACATATTTAGAAAAATGTTATGTGTATTTTCTTAATTTAAGAGAAGACACGTTATTTTTCTGTAATATAAGATTAATGTAGCAACATAAATATATACTATTAGTATATAAATATTTTTCCCATTTCATTGGCTAATGAAACTTGAAACAGTACATTTTTTGTATTGATATACTGAGCTGAGAATGTAGCTTAGTACAAAGGCCCTGGGTTCAATCTCCAGTATTGCCAAAAAAATTCAAGTAGAATGAACAGGAGTGTGATTCATATATTAATTTCTAGTTGTCCTGTTACAGTAAAACAATAAATTATTACAAGGTGATTGCTGGAACCCTGTCTGTTGCTCACTCGTGGAGCTGGGGAGTCACACTCGGCCTTGTGCATGCTGGGCGGACGCTCCCCTCAGCTGTGTGCAGTCCTGTGCTGTACTCTTGCGAGAGCTGATTTCAACTGGAGAATTTAACTTGTTTAAATCTTGTTCATTAATCCAGTGATAGGACACAATATTTTCTTCGTACCAAATTTTTAAATATTAACATTTTACAAATGCCAAATTAATACATTTTCCTTTTCCTAAATATTTGGGCAGCTGATAAAGTTATCTATAGTGTTCACTATTGATACTGACTCTGGAAATGCTGTTTCCACTTGTTCACAAGTAGAAGTAATTAACTGATGGGATAATCATTATGTTAATCTAGTCTTACCATCCACAGCTAATAAAACAAATCTGTCAGAGAATTTGCTTTTCCAAGTGTTTGGTCAATATAAAAAGATTTTTTTTTCCCCTGAGCTGTATCCATATCTCTCTCAGTTTTGTTTTGAGATAAGGTCTTGGGTAAGTTGCTCCAGCTGGCTGGAACTTGTGCCCCTCTTGCCTCAGCCTCCAGAATAATGAGGATTATGAGCATGTACCACTGTGCCTAGCTAAGAATACCTCTTAATGTTTACTCTCTGTTATTTTAGAGCAACTCCCTAGATTTTCTTTCATTTTAGAAATTCAGCAATACAAGTTGTCAGTAATACACATGAGGTGGCACATACCTGTAATCCCAGCACTTTGTGAGGATGAGTCAGGAAGATCATAAATTCAAGTCCTATCTAGGGCAGTTTAGAAAAACATTCTCTCACAGAACAGAAGAGATTAAAGATGTAGCTTAGTGGCAGGATACCCCAGTATCACAAAAAGTGTGTTTGTGGGCATTGTCATTGGGCTATACTAAAAGCATTCTTGGTTTTTACTATGAGATGGAGTCTAACTGTGATACCCAAACTGGCACACATTGAAAACCATTAACTGCCAGTTCCTCCTGCCTCAGCCTTTCAAGTAGCTGGGACAAGAGGTATGTACCACCACACCTAGAAGCATTTTTAAAATTTATCCTACACGCTTTACCTAATGTGATTTAATCTCAGAACAACCCTATAACATAGTATTATTAGACCTATCAGACAGATAAGACTGAGACCCAAAAACCACCCAAAGAAAAATAAATACAGAACTACAATAAAACTCCAGTAAGTTAGGACACAGCAGTCAAACCTACAACAGTCTGATTCCAAAGCATGTGTTGGCATTGTCCAGCATGTTATGAAACACACTGTCATTTTTAATTTCTAGAGGTCACATTTAAAAAGTAAAAAAAAAGTGCCAGCTATGGTGACACATGCCTGTAATCCCTCCACCCAAGAGGCTTATGCAGGAGAATCGCCACAAATACAAGGCTAACCTAACCTACATAGCAAGACCTGTCTCAAAAAATAAACCCCCCCAAAAAGCAAAGTTAAGTATGATAGCACATGCCCGAAATCCTGAAGTAGGAGTATGAGTTTGAGACTAGCCTAGACTACATAGCAAGACCCTGTCTCAGAAAATTTTTCCCTCCCAGAATATTGAAAGAAATAGGAAATAAGCAATGTATCAAATAACAAACCATTTCTACTACACATCAATTTTATTATATTTATTTTTTGTTTTATTGTCTTATAATAGTGCAAAATTGTCCTTAGCATTATTTTCCTTCCATAGTACATTGTTTAGTTATCCCAAGTTATATACCAATTGAGAAACCTATGTTTATTTCAGATTGTTTGCCATTATAACAAATAATTACGGACTTTTTTCTTCCGAGTCTAGAGCCCTTTTTGATTATGACAAGACTAAAGACAGTGGCCTTCCCAGTCAAGGACTGAACTTCAAATTTGGAGATATCCTCCATGTTATTAATGCTTCAGACGATGAATGGTGGCAAGCCAGGCAAGTCACACCTGATGGTGAGAGTGAGGAAGTTGGAGTGATTCCCAGTAAACGGAGGTAAATATGTTTTTCTTAACATTTGAAAGTAGGGCATCAGTGACCTAAGAAATTGCTGTTTCTTTGTATTTCTTTTACTCTGTGACACAGATGGACCTGGAAGACCTTCTGCTGAATGACATTTGCAAGACACAGACAAACAGACATGGTACAATCTCACATTCTTAGGAAATCCAAAATAGATAATAGAGTGGTTGTTACCAGGATCTAGAGGGAGAAGGAATAGGAAGATGTTGGTCAGGTGGTGCAAACTTGTAGTTGAGCAAGATGAATAAGTTTAGGAAATCTAACATTTAGCATAGTAAGCCATATGTAAGATTATTCTACAGTATACTTGCAATTTGCTGAAAAGGTAGGTTCTTAAGAATACTCACCATTCTCCTCCCAAAAAAGGTAACTGTGAGGTGATACTTAATTAGCTTGAGTGTAGTGATTTTTATAGTGTGTATATATACATATATACTACAGGGTCACATATGTGTGTGTGTGCATGTGTGTTCCACATACATGACATGTAGGTACATACCATCCTTCAAATATGCACAGTTAAAAATAAACTTTAGCCAGGCATGGTGGTGCATACCTATAATCCCAGCACTTGGGAGACTGAGGCAAGAGGATCAGCATGAGTTTGAGGCCAGCCTGGGCTTTATAGTGACTTGAAAGCCAGACTGAACTACATAGTTAGATCCTGTCTCCAAAAAAAAAATTAATTAAAGTTTTTTTAAATACCAGCACAACTGAATAAATACAGAAGTGGTGATTTTATGCTTTGTTTTCCATATTGTGCTTCACGGCTATTTATAAACAGTGTCAAAACCAGAAAATACAGTGCCTCCAAAGAGAAAGTTCTTTAAATCTCCTAATAATTGCTGAGAGTAGAATGAGTGTATTTTAAGTGACTGTGCCATGTGTTTATACTGTGCAAGAAAAAAGTATCTATAATTGTCCCATGTAGATAGTAACAGGCCTTAAATTTTTATTATATACATTGCCTCCTTTAGATTTAACATATAAAGGTAAATGCAAGGGGTGTTGTTTGTTTTAGTAATATTTTAGTGGTAGACTTTGTATCTGTTTTGTTATTTTAGGCCTATTAGTACAGTCTTCCTCTTCACTTTTAACCATTCATTTTAGTGACTCATTTGTGCATATTTGTGATCTAGTGGTAAAAGTGGTGAAGTGTAGGCTGACTTTGAAAAGATAGGTTCACCTTACCTTTGTAAGGTCTCAGAATGTTTACTGTCTCCACTTCTGTGGGAAAGTTATTAAAATGTCAGTTCATAATTTCCCCAAGATACGTACGTTATGAGATCTGATTTATCTAAGTCATCACCCACAAGTCCTTTTTTAAGTACTATTTGAACAATTTTATTGGAAGGTTGAGGCAGGATTGCTGCAAGTTTGAGGCTAGCCGGGGCTATGCAGTGAGACCCTGTCTCAAAAAAACTAAACCGAAAACAAAAGAAATTTTTTTAAAGAGCCAGCAAAAATGGTGATGTTTATTATAGCCAGTTAATTCACTTGAGCTCAACTTACGATGCAGTAAACAACTTCTTACTAACAAATTGGATTTGTGCTTACTTTGTTGGAGTCACTATAATTGATAAATGCACCAACTCATGTAATATTTTTGTATATTTGTCCCAAAAGTAGTAGTATCTTGCTCTGTTTTGTTTTTTTGTAGTGCTGAGAATAAAGCTAGGGCAAGGGCTCTACGCTGAGCTATGCCACCAGCCCAAGAGTAGTATTAAACTATTACAAGGATTTGTAATATGACTGTGGGGTTTATAACTGTTGTTAGCTAGATCCATATACCAGCAAGATGCAGCTATTGTGCGGTTTCATATTGGACGGCAGAGTCCCTTGGAGAAGATCATCTCATTAGCATAACTTTTTCCTGGAATAGAATGTGCTCTGTTTAAGGTTCAAAAGCACTTCCCTGTGCTTTCTTGAATCTGTTAGAAACCTCATATTGTATCGTATAAGAGCTAAACATGTGCCTGCAGCCAGTGAGGAATGCTGCTGACTTTGGTAGAAGAGTGAAGTGATACAAGAAACAAGTCTTGACCTCTGCCAGTCCCCAAATTCATGAGTAACACTGTAGAAGTAGTTTTTCCACCAGGGATATACTATGCAGCCACAACTGATAATGCTACTTCATTCTTAAATGTATTCAAAACTTGTTTTTCTTTAAATAGAACTATCTCCTGCTTAGACTTCTGCTAATAGTAGCATGAAGAATTCTAATTCGTACAATTCTTGCCTCAGTAAGCACCCAGACATGTTTATAAATTGTTCATGTCATGGACCATCAGGATTACTCCCGAATAATAAAAAAAGTTTTAAGTCCATCAGTGATAAGGTTCTGCCATGGTAAAACAGTGTAGCTAATAATAAAATAATTTTTTTCATCAGCTGTTTTGGTAGATTTTTCAGTGATATAGTAACATAATTGCAAATTGAAATCTCAGGATTTGTAAAACCTCTTACATTGAAAGTTTGCAAGATTCATAATTTACATGCTACATAAAAACTAGTTTTATTGTTATTTGCTTGCTCTTTTTTTGAGGCAGGGTTTCACTGTGAGTTCAGACTGGTCTCAAACTCGCAGTGATCCTCCTGCCTCCCCTCCTTACAGGTATGCATCACCATGCCCAGCCTTGCTTGCAAATCTTGAACAGTTAAATGTGTATCTGAACTTTAATGGGGTTCAAAATTCAAAAATTCTAAAAACAAAATACAAAAAAACATCCTATTTATCCTTATTCCCAAGCATCAGTTTCACCCTCATGGGAATAAGGCGGGTTACCAGTTTTTATGTATCCTTCCAAAAATACTTTTTTTTAAACTCTTTAATTGCTTTATATACTTACATATATATGTTGTTGGAGTTAAGCTTAATTTATTTCCAACTTTTTATTTTTTAAACTTTTAGAACTACAGAAAAATAAATACAAAAAAAGCTAATACAGTGAACCATATATCCTTTACCCACTTTCACCAGTTGTTAAATTTTGCCACATTTGGTTTCTCTCTTAAGCTTAATTTTTAGCTTCTATGTTCTAATTCTAAACTAGTATTTAAATTTAAAAATTTGGAATACCAGGAAATCACTAAACTCAGAAATATTGCCTCCCAATGCTTTCATAGTAATTACAGATTTGAGTGTATATAGAAATACAATCACTTTGCTACCTCCTAAGTGGTTGTTGTATTTCATAATAAAATGAGCTCTTCTGTTTTGTTTTTCAGCAACTCTAATTAATTTTAGGATATGAATCTAGATGATTCCTAAAGGTTTTAGAATATAAAGATGACCATGATAAAGGTATCAGTTCTGGTGCTTTCTAGTAAGACTCTTAGATATATTTGCTTTAGTTTAAAAAAATAACATTCTGGCTAGCATGGTGGCTGTAGTCTCAGCTACTCAAGAGGCTGAGGGAGAAGGATTGAGAGTTCCAGGCCAGCCTAAGTAATATAGAGAGATTTCATTTCAAAAAAAAAGCAAGGCATGGTGGCACACACGTATAATCCCAGCACTCAGGAGGCTGAGGCAGGAAGATGTGAGTTTGAGGCCAGCCTGAACTGTAATAGCAAGACCCTGTCACAAAAAACAACCCCCCAAAAAACATTCTAGGGGTCAAGAGTGTACCTTGTTGGTTGAGTGTATACTTAGCATGTATGAGGTCTTGTGTTCAATTCCCAGTGACAAAATAAGTAAGTAAAGTACTTACTTACTAATTGAGACAGGCGTGGTGGTCCATACTTATAATCCCAGCACTTTCAGAAGCTGAAGCAGGAGCATTGTAAGTTTGAGCCTGGCCTGAGCAATTTAGAGACACAGCAATATCTTGTCTCAAAATAAAGGGCTGAGTGTATAGCTCAATGCAAAGTCCCAGGGTTCAATCCCCAGTACCACAAAATAAATAATAAAACATATGTAACTCTCTGTACATTTGACAGGGTTGAGAAGAAAGAACGAGCCCGGTTAAAAACAGTAAAATTCAATTCTAAAGCAAGAGGAGATAAAGGGGTGAGTACCTGAAGTCACATTTCTAAAATTTAATAATTGCAAATAGTAGACCTTTTGATAATGCTTATCTGAGCTGTTTTTAAGTGAAAATGATTTTGCCGAACAAATTAACTGAATAGCTCTTGCCATGATGGTGCTTTACAGAAATAGTAAGCGTTTATTAATTAAAGTACCTATTTCACAGACCTTTCCACATTATTAAATGGTCATTTGATATATTCTTAGCAACCTACATTTAGTCAGGATTATTTTTATAAATTACTTACCAGTATTAATCATGAAAACTAGTTTAATAATGACTACTGTGGATGCCCTCAAAATGTGAACTGAGTCATAGTGCAAGTTTTCAGATTGTTGAATGTGAGTTCATAGACATTTCCTTGCTTTATATGCCCTTAATTCTGGAAATTGTTCCTTAATAAACTCTTACGTTTTAAATATTGGCATCAGCATGAATGTTTATTTTGCAGGAATAAAGAATGTGACAGAAGTTTTATAGTTGGCCAAGAAACAAATCAAAATTCCTTCATATATATTTAGATCTGTATTTAGTTTTCATGTATTTATCTTTCTGCTTAAATAAAGTTTTTGAGTGTGAAAAGATGAGGAAGATAGCTCCAGCTTCAGTTGTACTAGATACATATACTGACTGTCCTAAACTGACCACATTGGTGTCTTTCTAAGAGCCTGCAGAGAGGGCTGATTACATGTCATGGGGAAATACTTTAATGTCTCACATTTTTTTTAATCTAAAGCATAATTTTATAGGTCTTTTGATTGTATTTGAAATGAATGTGAAAATTCATTCAGCAAATAAATTTACACTCTGTACCTTTCTGATACCACTGAGTACTCAAACATAAAAGTTTAAAACTTCCTTGGCCAAGAAATTAAATCTGTATAAATTGTATATGTTCAGTTTTTTGGAAATAATAAATTCTTTTAAATTGTAGCTTTCAGAAGACACAAAATTATCTCAAGTAATACATAAAATAGAAAGTTTTATTAGAGGAAAAATTCCAAGTAAATGCTCAGGATTTGAAATAAGTACAGTGTTTTTTGTACTTGTTTTATGTATGTCTTTAAAAACACTTTAGTACCCTACATCAACAAATTGAAAAAAAGGTTGCATGTTGTAACTTTTCTTTCCTACTATAAGAAGTTAACTGAATTAACTACATATTTAAACCTCAGTCTTGTTTGTTGACTATAACCAACTCTATACAATCACTGTGTTCTAACACAGCACCAAAAGTATGCATGATAACTGAGTGGGGTAAAAATACGCTTGCCATTGATGCAGAACTGCATTTCTTTCCGTAATACCATTTTATGCCCTATTCCTTCTTTGCTTTTTCCTTATGTGGTGATTTATGGACTTTATTTTCATTATAGACATAATGTTTCAGCTTTTCATTAACATTTTTAACATTCATTTGGCTATTTTGAAATGCTACTTACTGAAATCATATATATTTAGCTACTTGTATATCATGAATTTGTGATATTTATCTCAGGTTTATTGGACTCTTACAGTATGGCACTGCTGACAACAAATAGGGTATTTTTATTGAAAATATAGAAAAACTGAAGAAAGCATAATTCTTCAGTTTTGTATTTTCCCTACACATTTTTTGTCTTGTTCGCTTCTGCTGTTTTTATTTTCACTTTTAACAAATTCTTCACCTGGAGATACTAAATGTAATGCAGTTAATACGTTTCTTAACTAACAAGCATTTCTTCCTGTCTTGTATTGATATCTTTATGATATCTTATTTTGGCTAACTGCAAGGTACCAAAAATCAAAACATTTTTAACCTCATGTTTCTTTTGTTTATGTGCTGTGAAACTGACTCTGACCACAATATATGCAGTAAGATAGGTAAATAACCTTTTTTAAAACCCATCAGCAGTTTTATTAGATATCAAAAATTACTAATTTCAAAATCAGTGATTCGGCCAGGGATAATAGCTCAGGGGCACAGTGCCTGCCTGGCAAGCACAGGGTCCTGAGATCAATTCCAATTGTCCAAAAAAATAGTAATTATTATGAATGAAAAGATTTAGAACTTTCCTAAATTAGATTACAGTATGTTTTCTGTACTGAAACTTAAAATTTTCTTCCCTTTTTCCTTTCTAAAATTTGATTTCATGCAAAGATTTTCATTTAAATAATGCTACTTGACAGTTTATAAACTAGTTATAAACCCAGATTTCTCCATAAGACTTCTCTCATCAGCAGAATGTTTAACTTCTGCTTAGAGCTCTGTCATCTAGTACCTCCGAGCCTTCATGTGTTAAGATTGAAGTCAAGACACTCTGCTTGGCTAATGAACTATGGATTTACTAATCCTGAGTTATTGATATGAAAAGGTAAAATGAAAATTTAACATTTTTATGAAGATCCTTTTCAAAATAAATCCTCTTAATTCATAAAATTGTAACTAAAAGTCAGTTTACTTCAGGACCTTAATCTCTGGCATCACATGGTTAAAACTAAGGACATACCAGAACATGCTCCTTAGTGTCATTGTGCTCCAGCATGATACACAGGGGTCCCTTTTCCCTGTGGAGAATACATTCTAGTACCTTCAGCGGATGCCTGAAACTGTAGACCACACCATACTCTATGCACAGTGTTTGTCCTATAGATACTTACTTACGATAAATGTGTAATACGTTAAACATAGTAAAAATTTAACAGTCATGTAATAAAATAGAATATTGTAACATACTCTAATAAAACTTTGAGCATCACTATTCATTTGCTTTGAGGACATTATTGAGTAAAGTAGAGTTAACTTGAAGTCAAGCACTGTGATACAGAGACAGTTGATCTGGTAGCCAAGATGAGTACTGAATGACTACCAGGTAAGAATGTGAAGGCTGGATACACTGGACAAAAGGCCAGCTCACATCCTGGGCAGGACAGAGCCAGGGGTAGCGTGAGGTTCTATTGTGCAACTCAGATCAGTATGCAGTTTAAAATTTAAGGAATGCTTTTTCCTGGAATTTTCCATTTAATATTTTCAGACCATAGTTGACCCCCAGAAAGCGAAACTATAGGCAGGAGAATCTGGAGGAATAGCTCAGTAGTAGAGCACTCACCTACCATGCACAAGGTCCTAGGTTCAATCCCCAGCACCACACACATAAAAAGGGAAAATTTTTCTAGCCTTTATATTTTTCCCACTCTCCCAAAAATAATAATAATAATTTCTACTGTCACTGATAGAAGAGACCATTTGCTATGACAGGAAATTATTTTTTGAAAAAAAGCTATTCCTCTTTAAAATTGTCATCATTCTTTTGCTAGATGGTCTTAAATCATGAATGTACAATGGTACACTGAAGGGAAAAAAGTTGTTTCCAACATCTATGCAGTGAGGCATATCAAATCACCTGCCCAGTTCTCTCACAATAATTTTGTATAAACTTCTAGAATCTTAATCCCTTTGTGGCCTTGATGGGCACCAGACTCTATGCAGGGTATGATGCCAATGGATTGGAATTGGTTCTGTTTTATATGTAGATGCTGATATATAGATAGGGCAGCTTAGAAACAAGCAAAATCAGTTGCATTGAACGAGCAATGATAAATCTTTTCCTGGACTGTATACCTGATGGATTTCTTAGTTTTCTAGTTCATACCATAAGCATTTATTTATCTTTGTCTTCTCCCAAAACAAGAATTGTTCTAAAATAGTTAGCATTACCAACTTCTCATGATTATTTTGGTCTACTTTTTTTTTTTTTTAACGTTTTGTTTTGTTAAATAAAAGGAGGAAAACATTAACAGACAGACAACCTTTTACAAAATAGCAAAAGAACAGTACAGACAGTGCTTTTTTAATAGCCACAAAGCAATAAAAGAAAAAGTGTGGTTACACCAAAATAAAATGAAAATTACTACTTGGTGCATAAAAATAATTGAGCAACAAACTTTCACTAGCTGGGTATGTGGTGCACTTGTAATCCCAGCTACTTGGGAGGCTAAGGTAGGAAGATTGCAAGATCAAGGGCTGGGACTGTAGCTCAGACGCAAAGCACTTGCCTAGCCTGTAAGCATGTGTGAGGCCTGGGTTCAATTCCCACTTCTTGGGGAGGATAAAAAAAACTTGCTGTAGAGCAGTTAGTGCTATGTTTGGAAGTTTTTCTACAAAAATAAGGATTCATTAAAAGCAAATATTAGCTTGATTTGTACTGTAGTGATGATCTGATTTGCTCCTTTTTTGTCAAGTAGCATTTTTAAGGTATAAGTGAATTCTCTTCAAATTTTTAAAATATTTTCATTTATGAAATGTTAGAAAAGTGTATGCAGAATTAGAAATTCACTGTTCATGTGAGTAAAGTGACAGTCATACTGACTGCACACTGTGGTCATAGGAGTCAGCTTCCACAGAGCTGCTAGGCTGGGCCTTTGTACACACAGACAGTAGACATCCCTTTGTTTTGCCCCTCCTTCTCTTCTTCAGCAGTCATTCAATGACAAGCGTAAAAAGAACCTCTTTTCCCGAAAATTCCCCTTCTACAAGAACAAGGACCAGAGTGAGCAGGAAACAAGTGATGCTGACCGTAAGTATGTGGATCCAGTGGTCAACTGAAGATAAATGTAGAGGGACCTACTGCCCTGCAGTTGGTTGTTACCATGGAGACAGTTTCAAGAGCTGCAGCAGGTTACTAACTGTCTTAACAGGAGGAAACTTACCAGGGATAATTCATTTATATGCCAGTCTTAACTCTTTCTGGCACCTGAAAAATTCTTAAAATAGGCAGGGTTAAGTTATATCCTTATAATTTAAACATATAAAAAAGTAATTAAAATTATTTGAAATGAGTTTTTTTAATGTAACATACTCAAAAAACGTTTTAGAAGAAAAACATAGATGCCTAAGTTCTTAGGTACAGCGTTGCCAGTCTTTGACTCTAGTTCATCTGGAATCATTCCATTTTATCCTATTTCTTTGTTATATGTAGACAGTGTGAGTTTTACTTTAAAATAGCAAGAAGTGGCTTCAAAATTTGCCTGTCTACTAAGCCAGAACTTTTATTCTTTTGTAGATTACATGTAGCTGGTAACTCATTCTAAATTTTTGGAACTCTATCAGAATACTCTGTAAGATGTGTATACCTGCAATGGTCTTGGAACTGTCTCTTACTGTAGCACCAATTTTATGCATTACTGACAACTATTTTCTTTGATTATCTTTTTATTGCTTGCTCTCTGGGGACTACTCTCTACAGGAGATCCCTGACGACTTGGGATCAAAAGGCCTGAGTAAGTGATCAAAATACTCCCAAGTTATGTTTTAACCTCCATCTGCAGACCTACCTTGTTCAGATACATTTGAGGTTCATGGTGGTAATGCCCTTCTGGCATGAGGAGGTGTGTGATGTAATTGCTTTTAGACTTTCCACGCTTACAACATGCTTGGGATTTTTATTTCTGTAACATACACTTTTTGTTATGCTCCATTTTTTTACATGTCACTTAAAAAACACTGTGTTCATAATTATGTTTTCCTTGTTTGTAACTTTTATGGCAGTTACTTTTGCTAGGGATTTTTTAATATAGAGACTTCTTAAAAAAATTTTTTAAATGCTACTACTTGCTTTTGTTATTAGGATATAGAAATATGCTTTCTTAGAGTTTTATGTCTTTGTTGTTGTTGTTAAAATAAGTTAGCAATCACTCTCATGTGTTTAGAAGGTATAGCTGCTCCAGACTTGGTGGTACACCCCTGTAATCCCAGCACTCTGAAAGGCTGAGGCAGGAAGATCACAGGTTCAAGCCCAACCTGGCCATCTTAGTAACTTAATGAGACCCTTGTCTCAAAGCTTTAAAAAAAAAAAAAAAAATTTGGAAAAAAAAATAAATAAATAAAATTTAAAATATGTGTATATGTATGGCTATAATGTAAAAAATATAAAACAATAGATTTTAACTGTTAGAGAATAAGCGTAGACATCAAGTTCAAGTAGCAGTTGGGGGAGTATAAGTTTGAGAAGAATTATAAGAAATACTGTCCTTTGTTTTAACCAAGATGGTTTTGGTCTTTCCTTGGTATGTTAATTTTCTAGCCAGCGTTTAATCTTCACAAAAACCTTAGCACAGAGTCTGATTATATAGAAGTAATTCAAGAATACAGTAAATGTTCAAATAAATACCATGTATCAAAAAGCCATTTTAACAAAATGTCTTTTTTATTTTGGATATTTTCAAAGTATTTGACTACAAAACTTTATCTAGTATTATTAGGTAGTTTAAGATGATAGTGTCACTTGGGCAAAATACCCAACGCCCACACTGAGAAGAGGGCAGGTTTATTGTGGCTCCTGGTTTCAGTCTATGCTCAGCTCGATCCAAGGCAGACAGGGTCACAAAGGAGCATGGTGGAGGGAAAGGTACCCAGCTCATGGCAGTGAGGAAGCAGAGAGAGAAGACAGGAGACAAGGAGATGCACCCTTCCAGCTCACTTCCCCTGTGGCTCTCCTTCACCAGACCCACCCTCCTTACAGCACAGTCGGCCGAGAACTGGATGAATCACTGCTGAATGTAGCACCCCCCAACCCAACCCCTCTGCACACGCATGAGAATTTGGGGAGACAGCATAAACCTGAACCATAACACAGTGACTCCTAGAAATAATCCTCTTTAGACTGTTTTTTCCTAAGTGGTTCTTTGCATTTGGATTATTAAGCATTTTGAAAACTTCTCTGATTCTTGATCATTAAGAATATAGACAGTATCTTTTCACTTTCTAAGATCTATATTAATACTAAATTTCACAAGGTTTTTTTCTGATTTATGGTAATTTTATATTGGAATTTTAATAAAGTATAGGTACTTGACATTTATTTCAACCTTAATGATTTAGATTTGTGTTAGATTTAAGACAGTAAGCTTTATGTATAATTATTTCTGTCAGACATACTGTGTTATTTTTTAATGTACCCGTTTAGAATTTAAGAAAGGCCACAAGGGGGCTGGGGATTTAGCTCAGCGGCAAAGCACCTGCCTGGCAAGCGCAAGGTCGTGAGTTCGGTTCCCGGTACCGGAGAAAAACCAAAAAAAAAACAAAAGAAAGGCCACAGATTTCCTGTCACCAGTGACATCACTTTTTAATCTCTTACATTTAAGAAAAAGTGTTGATGAAAACCCTTCAAAATCCTTCAGTGGATTATTGATTTAGAGAATTTATCTTGAAGTTGATATTATATTAGAGACAGAAATGGAGTTAGCAGCCAGGTGTGGTGGCACACGCCTATAACCCCAGTACTCAGGAGGCTGAGGTTGGAGGGTTGCTGTGAGCTTGAGGCCAGCCTGGGCTACAAAGTGAGTTCAAGGCTATCCTGAACTGCATAGTGAAACCCTGTCTCAAAAAGACCCAAAAAAAAAAGGGGGAGCTAGCAATTTTTATCAAGTCTGTGGAAAACTCAGAAAAGGGAACTAAATGAAAAATTTGGCTCCCATGTTCACATTGTTATGGTATATGATAATTATACCATAACCTTCTATGTCTGGATCTAGGTGAGGAGAGAAACAGTATGAAAAATGGTGATTAATTATCAGTGTTAATTAGAAAACAATTTTGATCTTTCTGTACAGTGACCAAGATCAGTTCAATGATAGGTATCTGTGCATCATTGCATAGAAATTTAAAGGATTTATTCACCCACTGACTTGGTTAGATCAAGATTTTATTCAGAAAATATTTACAGAGACAAAATATCAGACAAAATTGAAAACTAGTTATGATGGAAGTTACTGATTTGTCTTGAAGAAACAATGAGAAAAATTATTTTTCCAAACCTAATTCTGGGTAGCAGGACTCATGGAAGTCTGGGATAATATAAGTCATCAGACTTACTACAAGCTAGAAATAGAAACCTGCCTGTGTAAATGTTATGCTTTAAGTAGGCAGTTCTAAAGGAGCTCAAGGGAATAAGATTGGGTAAGAGTCCTTTAACAGAGACTAGATGGAAATATAGCTCAATAGAAGATATAAAAGGTGCTCAGAAGTGAAATCATGTCATACAGTTTCAGAAAAAGTTTGTACCAATGAATAATAAGCAACCTTTCCATTTTTACAATTTCCCATTCTATAGAATACCTCAAAAATTTCTTTTAGCCGCATAGATTCCTTGTTTTGTATCTCTTTCCTTTCTTATTCTATAGACTTAAGCAGAATTGTGCACAGTTCTTAGATGCCAAAGTCACATTTATTTTCATTTTTGTTACAGTAAAATACTAAACTAGTAGTATTATGTGGAGAAAGAACAGGGAAGAGAGAAGACAGAAGAGACACGTACACTGGCAAGAATAGGTGCTTGAGTAGGAAGGTGAAACTTGATTAGAGAGATCTGAAATATGTGTGTGCAGCTAACTTTGAAAACTTCAAAAATACATTTGCATAATGTCTCTCAAAGAGATAATAACCTTACACTGAGTTCTACCAGTGAGAAACAGACTGTCCATTAGAAAACTGGACAGAGAATAAGGCAGGTGTGTTAGCTGTCTGTTACTTGTAGCAAACACCCGAGATAACCAGCATACAAAGTGGAAACGTTTAGTTCGGCTCATAATGTTGGAGGTTCCATGACCTGGCTGAGGTGCTGTGTTGTGTTTCGGTCTGTGGTAAGGCAGTCATCTTGTCAGGGGAGTGCATGATGGAACAAGCAGCTCACCTCCCAGTCAGGAAGGATGAGGCCAGGCTTCCATATCCCCTTCCGGGTTGCTTCCCAAATGACCTAAAAGGTGCCACTAGGCCTTGTCTCCCAGTTGCGCGAAAGTGGAGGAGAACCAGGCCTTTAACATAGAGGCCTTTGAAGGACACTCCAGATCTAAACTGTACTAACAAAGATATTCAAAAGATGAGCAGATGAAATAAGCAACACAGAAATGTTTAATCTCCCTAGTAATCAATAAACAGAGTACTGTGTTTCACCCATCGCTCAGCAGACTTTCCTTTCAAAGGTTCTGTAGAATGGTTTCTTCACCATGCTGTGATTAGGAGCAGTAAGCTGATAGAGCCTTTCTGGAAAAGGTATCTTTTAGGCCACTAAGTCCTGTTCCAGGAAATTACCCTGTGGACATAAATGAAAATAGATGGGGTAAAGGTGTATATATTTGAATGTTTATTTTAGCAGTATTTAGAAATAACAAAATTCAAACCATCTGAGAATGTCTTAGTTGAGGACTGGTTAATAAAGTATGATTTATCCATACTTATTGTATTGCTGAAATCATATTTTTAATGACATGGAAAATGCTGAAAAATGTAAGTGGAAAAAAAAGTAAAAATATTAAACTGTACGTATCCCTCAGAAATGCAAATATTTCTGAGGCTGTTTTGAAAAGCGTTGTTTTGAACATTCTTGTGCATCTCTTTTGGTGAGCACCTGGATAGCTTTCTTTTAGAAAAATACCTAAGAAAAGAAGGATTGCTGGGTTATACATAGTCATATGTTTAGTTATAGTGGGTACAGGTGGCCTTCTATCCTATTGGTTCCACATTTGTGCATTCAGCCAATCATGGATCAAAAATATTTGGGAAGAAAATTCCATAAATTTCCAAAAAGCAAAAATTTCCAGCAAGCAAAAGCTTGCTGCATGCATCATATAGATGAGGGGGTGTGTGGGCCTAGCCTGCTGTAGCCACCTACCGTTTCAGAGATCCCCAGTCTTACCAGCTCCTGTTTAAGCATTGTTCACTTCACATCTTTTCATGTACCCCTTCTAGTTAGATGTTAAACCCCTTGGGTGGTTTGTGTGCACTGGACAGACTTTTTCTTGCCAATATTCTCTGAACAACACAGTATAACAACTATTCATAAGACAGTTATGTTGTACTGGGTGTTACTAAGCAATCTAGAGATGGTTTAAAGTAAGTGGCAAGGCGTGTAGGTTACATGCAGATACTACACTGTTTTATATAAGGGATTTTTGCATCTTCTGATTTTGGTCTTCCCCTGGGGTCTTGGAACCAGTCCTCCCTAGACACTTAGGCAAGACTGTGCTGCCATATAGTTCCCAAAGTACTGTGACCGGTTTGCCTGCAGCAGTATATGAGTTCCAGCTGCAGTGGGTCTGTATCTGTACTTGGTCTGTTTTGTTTTTTTATTTTTTTTTTCATTTCAGCCATTCTAGTAGGTGATAAAAATATCCTTTGTCTTTTAATTTTCCCTTCTCTGATAAGTAAATTTGAACACCTTTTTATATGTGTATTGGCTATATTAGTGCCTTCTTTGGTAAAGTGCCTTTTTGTTGTTGTTTTGCTTTTGCTTTTGCTTTTGCTTTTGCTTCCAAGGTACTGGGAATTGAACCCAGGGCCTCCTGCGTGCTTAGACATTTGGTCTCCCACTGAGCTATACCCCCAGCTCAAGGCTCAAGAAGATTACAATATTTTTAATTATGAAGGGGGAAAAGCACTTTACTCTTCTGATAAGTTTCCAAGCAATGATGATGGTGCTATTCCAAGGCCCATACTCCGAGCAAGACTTCATCGTGGAGGGGCTAACTGAAAGAATATTTGAAAGAACTTGCAAATTTTGAATGTTGTATAGTCTTACAGAGTTCAAGATGAGTAGGAGGAAAAAAAAATTTTAATTGAAAAGTGATAATAGTAGCTTTACTACTGTATAATGTCAGGTATATTCAGCAGTAAAATATAAAAGTAGATGCCACACATTCATTTACCCAGCTTTCATAATTCTCAGCTCAACATTAACCTGTTTTGTTTCTTCTATATTTCCAGTTCACTTCATCTCGATAACTAATTTTTCTTTCCTTTTTAAGTTTATGTCACAGTAATATCAATCCAAATCTAAAATAAGTTTTTTTAATGTTACATTCCTATTTTGGGGAATAAATTTCAAGTAACGAGGAGAGGTAAAAATGAAATGCATTTACCATTATTGATGTTTGTGAAAACAATTTAAAGCAAACTAAAATGTCTAAACTATAAATGGTAAAGTAAAATCACAATTTAGTAATCCAGTGGAGTGTTCTACAATTGTAAATGATTGTTTTGAACTCCATGTAGTAACAAACTTTTTAACTATAAGCTTCAAAAAATGTTTTTTACCTGTGGTTGTCTAACGTTAGTCAGTTGTACTTGTAATTTTTAAAGCTCTTGCTTTAACCATAATTAAGAAGTTACATCTTGTCTTTGCAGGTTAGAATAGCAGACGTTTTTCACAATAGCAACTCAGAAACTTTTTTTTAACTTGAAATCTTAAGTTCTGCCGTTCTCTGATCTTCCGCACAGGGCTGCTTGATTTTAGGAAACTCCGGGGGAGGTGTACTGTGGTACAGCCAGTATTTGTACTCAGACTTTCTCCTTTCCTTGAGGAAAAATATTCTTTCCCTAACATTAGAAATTCTTTTCCTCTCACTGGAAGAGATTTTTTTACTTTTTATAAATAAAATTACCCTTTTTTATTCAAGGAAAATTTGAGAGATTACATTTACATATATAAAGTACCTTTCGTTTACTGTACAACCAAGTTATTGAATTATTTTAAGGAGAGGTTAGGCAAGATATATTTTTGACCACATGTATGCATTTTGATTTTTTTCGTGTTTTGCAGAGCAGCCACTGTCAATTTTATCGAAATGGAATGTTTTTTAAAATCTAATCCCCAATGTGGTGGCACATGCCTGTAATCCTAGCACTTGGGAGGCTGAGGCAGGAGGACCATTGGAAGTTCGAGATCAGCCTGGGCTACAAAATGAGCTCAAGGCCAGCCTGAACTGCATAGTGAGACCCTGTCTCAGGAAAAAAAAAAAAAAAAAGAATTCCTTCCCACTTACTATTTTTGAGACGTTGAATATGCTTGGTATGATCTCAGAAATGTGAATTTTTTTCTTTTTAAGAACAAGAGATGCGTCACTTAAAAATAAGACCTATTTTTAAATTATAAAGACACCCCTTTCTTAATTGGCCATCTATTTACTCAAATATAACTTGTCTCCTTTGCTAATCTTCAGTGTTTCATATAACTAAAGTAGTACAAATAAATATATTTTCTCATTTTGGGTTTTATTTCTACATTTTATCTAATTTAGGATCACTTTGCCTTCTTTGCCATATTGTGCTTGCTAGATATATTAGAGATTTTGTTCATGAACCATATTGTATAAAAGTAAGGCATTATCCTTTATTACAGGTATTTTCTCTTGCTGAATCATATTTATTTGTTTAAAAAGAAATTTTTAAAGAAAATCAAAAATGCTTTTTAAAAATGTTTTGGTTATATGTAGTTTATATCTCAACATTTTGTAATGTATGTTGCCTTGTTTTACTTTGATAATTTGCTTTTATCAGCTTTTTAATCTCATGACACTTTTTATTTTTCTCATTGTCCTGCAATTTCAGAGCATGTAACTTCTAATGCCAGCGATAGTGAAAGTAGTTACCGTAAGTGTTTTAAGTTACTTGTTCTTTTGTAATCTGAAGTAATACATAAACTTTGGGTGCTTTTTCCTTAGTTATATCTGTTCTAAAAACTGAAAATCAGATGCTTAATTTTAAAATCAGGGAAAGCCAATTAAATTATGTTCTTGAAAAGTAAAAGCTACTGCAAGTTGAGTGTCTCCATCCAAATTCCAAAACTCTTTAGCAGCAATGTGATGCTCAAGAATTTTCAAATTTTGCCGGACGTGGCGGTGCACACCTGTAATTCCACCACTCAGGAAGCTGAGGCAGGAGGATCGTTATGAGTTCGAGACCAGCCTGGGCTACAAAGGGAGCTCAAGGCCAGCCTGAGCTGCATATCGAGATCCTGTCTCAAAAAGACACACACACAAAAAAAAAAAAAAAAAAAAAAGGATAAACATGTTTTTAAAAGAAAAAAGAATTTTCACATTTTGAAGAATTTCACTTTTCAAGTCCAAAAAGAAAAGTTTACATCTGGAGTGCTTCTGGGCTGACCATTTTAGGTAGAGGATACTCAGCCTATAAATATACATACAGAGAGAGAGAGGTTAATATCCAAATTTTTGAGAAAACACTAAAACCTTTTTTATGAATAGCGGTTTTTTTGTACACAGCACATATGCATGTCTGTGTATCTTTTATGAAAAATAGATACCTGGCTAAATGAGGAATAAAATTGTATTTCGATATTTTGTTTAATTTTATTTTTAGCATGAACACTGAAGTAATTTTTTCAATAATGCTAAGTTATAATTAGCTTTAGTTCCTTTCTTCGGTGTCACTAGTATTGCTCTGGATCAAGTCAGTGTTTTTCACCACCTGTTGGTTAGAGTAACAAATGAGGAAAGAAAACATTTCAATCATTGCTCAAAAAGTACTACTGTTTTCTTTGTATTTCATATTATATTCTTGGTATTTTTAAGTCGGGTAGACATGTGAAGTCATTAAACAGATTGGGGCATGGGAGGATGGGAAGGTACATGAATATTACCAGTTGTAGCATCTTAAAAATTAAAATTGCTTTTCTAACTTTTTTTTTTACTGCTGTCTAATGTGAAAGTAATCTTGATTACAGATGAGTATGGCTGCCCCAAAGGTCCATCCTGTTCATATCAGTCCCTACTATTTTTTCATGTTGACAGTATATACTTTTAATTCTCATTCATTTGGTTGGCTATTCTTTGCTACGTAAGAATCTCTTAGTAATTTTTTTGACATGGGAATGTGATTCAGCATTTTAGTAACTTACAACCAGAAACCACTGTAGAGTAGTTGAGTAGCTTTCTAAACTTAAGAGAGGGAATGAAAGTATATACTGTCTCTTTCACCATTTGCATGAATTTACTCAGGTGTTGAATATTCAAATTGCATGTTTTTGCTAGTATGTGGACCATGTTTTACATCCAGTACTTTAAAAAGCAGCTTGAAAAATATGTTTTATATAATACTATAAAACTTTTATACTATAATACTTTTTATACTTTTTATACTATATAATACTATAAACTATATACTATAATACTTTTATACTATAAAACTTTTATGCTATAATAATAAAATTGAAAACAAATAAATATATTTTAAAGCAGGAAAGAATACTTACACTAGTATGTGAATTTAAAAGACCTGCAGCTGAGTGCATAAAAAACAATGACAAAATTAGTGGTAGTTGTTACAGAACTTCATAATCAAAGAGAAAATCTTCAAATATATTATCCAGTTTTGATTGCTTTCATTGAGCCGCTTAGATTTGGGGGTTTTTTTCCTACTTGGGAGCATGTTAAGAACTAGAATTTTTAACTTTTTAATTCTTCTCCCTGGGTTCAAATATAATTTGCAGACTTTTTATTTAGCATATTTCCTAAGCTCTACACCTTTAATTTAACCTTCAGAAGCTTTAAAATGTCTTTAAGGTCAAAACATACTGTCTTAACTTCTTTACTATTAATTTATTTTTTGTTGGAAGGAAAGGGTTTGATTTTTTCAGAAGATCTTTTTAACACAGTTTCAATGTTTTTTTAAAGTTGATGAATTAGAATAATCAGTGAACTTTTTCTCAAGTGAAACAGTGACATAGTTTTACACTTGTATTTATTTTTAAAACAAAGTATACTTTGTTAAATAGTATACTCAGTTAAATAGTATACTCAAAAAACTAGTATTTTTAATAGCAAATTATCCAATGCGCCTAGATGTGGAACTAAATACTATTAGTCTTTAAAAGATTGGATAGTTCTTAGATTCTAAAAAATTAATAGCACATACTCAACATCACAAATATTTTAATAGATTTGATCTGTAAACACAGAATAAGTTATAATAAATAACATTTATATTTGGTTATATTTATTAAGCTTAAATCCTTATAACTTAATAATTTGCCTTTTTTTACTGAATCTTGCTATAACAATTTTAAAGTAAAATATCTTTTTATACATCTTTGTTGTTTTCTCAGGATAGTCCTAGTAATTTATGTGTTAAATATGAAGAATTAGATTCACATTTATTATTTTTTCAGGTTTTTTTATCTGTACTATTAACTTCCTAATAGGTGGTCAAGAAGAATATGTCTTGTCTTATGAACCAGTGAATCAACAAGAAGGTTTGTGAAGTCTGTTGGTATTTTACAATCTTACAAAAACCCTTGGAAAATAGGTCTATATCATACTGCAAACAAATTTCATACAAGAATTTTATTACTGGGCTGGGGATTTAGCTCAGTGGCATAAGCGCCTGCCTGGCAAGCGCAAGGTCGTGAGTTGGATCCCCGGTACCGCCACAAAAAAAAAAAGAATTGTATTACTTACTGTATATATTTTTGTAGAAATTTAGTATCTGAATTTTATAAAACAAAGTTTAGCTCATACTAGAATGAAGTCATTTTACATTGGCTGATTTATAATGGTGTTTTATTTTCTAAGCAGTCTCTTTCCAGTATTCATAGTGACAGTACTGTCTTTCCAATAACCCTTTTCAAAAGTCTTAAAAGTACTTCATTTGACCTTTCTCTGTTCTTTATCCTCATCCAGGCGGGTTCTAGACCATTTTTATTCTATTTCTGTCATATATTCCTTGTTAGTAACCTCCTTTTTAGCCTTCCTACCACAGTGTGTGTTCCACTTCTCACTATTAATCTTCCTTCTTCCACCATGACCCCTGGAAACCAAATATTACCCTTCTCTATTAGATCATCTTTCTAGATTATTACTATGCTATCCCTACACCCAATTTCTTGTTTGTGCTTTGTTCAGCTCCTTGCAGTTTCTACTTGTAAAACCACATACTTCGTTTTCACATTTATAGCAAGGTAATACTAATAATGTGTGGAAACACTGTCTGCTAAAATGCTAAATTTAACTCACTTGACCTCTAGTGGAGATTGAGTGAAGTTGAGTATCTTGATAAAGTTTTATAAAGTAACAAGTGAGTCATTTTTGGTAGATGATGAGGTGATACAGAGAAAGAATAACAAATTATAAAAGCTCAGGATGATTTTGTCCTCTGGTAAAATAAAGTACATTAATATTTATTGAGTGTTTATTCCTTTTAACATGTAGTTTATCTTTATAGTTAATTATACTCGACCAGTTATCATATTGGGACCTATGAAAGACAGAATAAATGATGACTTGATCTCAGAATTTCCTGACAAATTTGGATCCTGTGTTCCTCGTGAGTAACCACGTAAAAACTCGTAGTTGTTGTTCGTAACATTCCCTGTCACTGTATTTGACAGAAATAAACATAACCATTTTTAATTGTTCATAGTTATTTTATCCTCCATGTTATTTTTTCAAATTTAAATTGTCTTTTGCATTGAGCTTTAACAGTAATCTAAATAGAAAATGAATCTATTGTGTTTTTAATACTAAACACTTCCCCAAGTTTTTTTCTGTTAAAGATACAACTAGACCAAAACGAGATTATGAGGTAGATGGAAGAGATTACCATTTTGTGACTTCAAGAGAGCAGATGGAAAAAGATATCCAAGAACATAAATTCATTGAAGCTGGCCAATATAACAACCATCTGTATGGAACAAGTGTTCAGTCTGTACGAGAAGTAGCAGAAAAGGTAACCTCAAAGTAACCCAGAATATAATTTCTAATCAGTTGTTCCTTTGACAGTATAAGCAGGTGATTTTTACTTTATATGTATGAAAAATATATATGGTACAACTTTGATTACTTTTGTTATGTTATGAATTTATTTACTTAAATATTTAATTTTAGGTTAGAAAAATACATACAAAATAAAACACACAATGTAGATAAAGAAAATAAGAATAGAAATGATAGCATGAATTTCTCTAAAAAACAGAAGCTGTTACTTTAAGATCTCTTGCTTTAGATAGAAACCCAATAGATTCAGAGTCCTTGTGTCTGGCCCTAATCCTCTAATTATATAATGTATGTTGAGCTAAGATCAGCAGTGTCCATCACTGAGAGTGAGTGAGGTGTTCACAGAAAGTGTGTTTGCACTCCTGCTAAAATTAGACAAAAAGTTCTCATCTGAGTCTCCAAAGAGAATGTGTATACATAAAAACACTGTAATAACAGGTTTCCGAAAGCATCCTTCAGAGTATTTCACTGTGACATGATGTTAAAACAGATTTAAGGTAAAGCCAAAATAGTGTTCCTCCCAGACATATTGTTTTATTTAATCACTCTTTGGGCCTAGAAAAAAAAAAAAAATCAACAAATTATTTCATACCTCAGAACTAATAGCTGAAAACTCCATCCTGAAACACCTATTAAACAGTAATTCAGCATGTCAGTTTTCCATGTGTATGTGCTACTTTTGTTGTGAGGGTTTTCTTGAATTCTGATTAGTTTTACATTTCTGAGTAAGTAAAATCATCTGAAAAGTAATAGCAGCACAAATTTGCAGAAATGGAAAACCTTGGCTATTGTTAGTGGTAATACAAATTAACAGAACTTCTTTCAAGAACAGTTTGGCAATACCTAATAAATGTTCATACTCAGGGCTGAGGATTTAGCTCAGCGGCACAGTGCCTGCCTGGCAAGCGCAACGTCATGAGTTCAATTCCTGGTACCGGAAGAAAAGCAAACAAACAAACAAAAAATGTTCATACTCTATGATCGAGAAGTTTACTTCTTAGTATGTAAGTATAGATTCACACATGAGAATCATACATAAGTATGTTCATAGTAGCACTGTATAATGTGAAAAATTAGAATTAAACAATGGGAATAGATAATAACTTATTTATATAGTGGCATACAGCAGCTAGAATGAATAAACTAATGTATTGGTTACGTATATCCATATTGATAAATCTCAAAATTACAGTATCAAATTGTATCAGCCAACTTTGTTTTACTAAAATAGAATAGAGAAAAGGTTTTATGTAGCCCATGGTTTTGGAAGGTAAGAGTCCAAGATTGGGCTACCCATAGGTTTGACATCTAGTTAGGACAAATGACAGCACATCATGGTGGGAGTGTGTGTCAGACTCACATCTCAAACTGGAGCAGAGAATGAGTCCCACAGTCCCTTTCAAGGGTGCATTGTACCCCAGTGACTTAAAAGTTCCCACCTCTTAAAGGTCCGTAGCATCTCCCAATACCGCCATTCTGGGTGCCAAGATTTTATGTGTGGACCTTTAGGGGGGAATAACCAAACCATAGCATGAATACCAAACTGCAGGTGATAGGTACAGAAAAATGATATTGTGACTCTGGATATGCCAGAGAGAATGTACTTCGTTTGGTGAAAGTTCTCAATTTAAGGAGAAAAAAGTCTCATGGCAGTCACTAAAATCTGTGGTAAGAACAGATCTTCTGTCCATGCAATTGTGAAGCAGGGAAAAGAAATCCATGCAAGGCTTGCTGTCCTACCGCAGACTAAAAATTACAGCCTCAGGACGTGGTAAATACTTGCTTAGTTAAAGTGGAAAAGGTGTTAAATCTGTGTATGTATATATGTATGTATGTATAGAAAAATACCATATATGTGTGTATGTATATATAAAGTTTCTCCAGGGTTTCAGGATTCCACTGGGGGCCTTAGAATCTACTCTCTGGGAATAAGGGGCAGTTACTATCCACATTTCAAACACAGAGTGAAACTGGCCCTTGGGCATAAGAAATGATGCCCACCTTCAGTCATTATTAAAGAAATGTAAGTGAAAACTATAGTGATTACAATTGTGTTAGGAAAAGAATATGAAAACACATTTTCTTGGTGAATCTGGGAGGAACCACACACTTTTTGCATTACTGGTGTATGTGCAGACTGGTGCAGCTTATTGGAGGGTAATTTGGCAATATCTAGCAAAACTGCATATGTATCTACCATTAAACTCAGCATTTCAAAAAAATAAATAAATTTTTAAAAAATAAACCCAGCATTTCACTTCCAGAATCTATCCCACATAATGGTCCGGGGATATAGCTCAGCAGCACAAGCACCTGCCTGGAAAGTGCAAGGTCCTGAGTTCGATTCCTGGTACCAAAAAAAAAGGGGAACAGAATTTATCCCACATACATCTGTAGAAAGGTTTTCATTGCAGCTTTTCATTTATAATTAGGTAATATTGAAAAACATCTAACTGCCCAGATAGAGCAGTTAACATCATAATCAATTATAATCCACACAATAAAGTTGTCTGCAGTTACTGAGTAATAATAATAATAATGTATCTGAGCTGATGTGTAACATGCAAAAGAAGATCTGTGGTATAGTTTTAAATGAGAAATGAGAAAATACACATTATTTATTCAGTTGTGTAAAAGCACAAGAAGGAAAATCAGAGCCTGATGAAATTGGCTACCAAGGGATGGAGGAGTAGAAGGGGCAGCTAAGTGGAAATGGAGTAGCAGGGGTTGGCAGTGCAGCATCTCGGTGAGTGTAGATTTCTGTGCAATTCTGACTTTTAGAACTGTTAATATTTGAATATCAAAGTGATGGTAATAGCTGATTCTTACACATAGAATAATAATATGTCCATAATTAGATAAACAAATACACGAATAAACAGGTAGAATAGAAAGCTTTACCTTACATTCTACTAATCAAGGTAGAAGAAATGATGAAATTAGGAAATCTGTCTTTAAAAATCATAGTAACTATTTCCAGTAAGAATCATTAGCCATAGGGGCTGGGGGTTTAGCTCAGCGGCAAAAGCGCCTGCCTGGCATGCGCAAAGTCGTGAGTTCGGTTCCCGGTACCGGAGAAAAACCAAAAAAAAAAAAAAAAAAAAAAAGAATCACTAGCCATGCTAAATTTCAATAAGATTTTTGCATACTTTCAGAATATCCTCCCCCAAAGTATTCATCCAGTACAGAGAGAAAAATAGAATTTTATTTACAGTGGAGAGACAGACAAAACCTTAAACAAGTGATCAAAATGAACATCACTGTAACAGAGCAAACAGGTACCGCACGTCTCCCTGATCCAGTGGACTGAGGACACAGCATCATTTCTGAGGTGTCTCTGCCAAGAACTGCAGCACACCAGCTGCTAGCGGAGAGGCAGGCTAACCCATTGAGGCACACGGTCGCATAAATGTTCTGTATTCTTCAAAAACATCGCGATCAGAAAAGGGCAGTTCTAGGGAACTGTGCCAGCTTGCTGGAGAGTAAAGAGACATTACACCTGAGTGCAGTGGGTGATCCTGAATTGGATCCTAGACCAGAAAAAAAAATTTTATAGTAAAGGACATATAGATGACATTTAGAGTTAAACTGATTTTGTATGAGCTTCCACTGTAGTCAGAAATATGGAGTAGAGGAACATTGTCTACAGTTTACTCTCAAACTATTATGTACATATATTGAGAAAACAAAACAAATGTGAAAGAATGTTAGTATTGTAGCCAGGCTTGGTGGCGCATGCCTGTAATCCCAGCACTCAGGAGGCTGGGTCAAGAGGATCATTGCAAGTTCAAGACCAGCCTGGGCAACAAAATGAGCTCAAGGCCAGGCTGAACTACATAGTGAGACCCTGTCTCAAAAAGACAAAAAAAAGTATTGTAGTTTTTTTTTAATTTTTAAGCAAAATGTAAAATATCACCTTTAAAATAGATGATGAATACATTCATTTTTTACTTCTCTAAGTTTGCAGTATTTAACAGATTAATTTTTTATTTTCATTATACCTGCTAAGTTGAAATGATCACTTGTTTACATGCATTCAGGCCTTTTGCTTAGAACATGCTTTATGAGGGAGGACCTGATTTAAAATATGTTGTAATAAAGTCTGATAAATCGGTTGAGCATGGTGGTACACACCTGAAATGCCAGCACTTGGGAGGCAGGGTCAGGATTATGAGTTCAAAGCCAGTCTGGGGAACATAGAAAGACTCTGTCAAAAAAAGAAAGTACATAGTCCCTAAAATACAAATGAGCCCCATTTCTGGAGAACACTTGTAAGTCGGATTTGTTCGTATCCAACAAAGTTTTAAGTCTCTCACAGTGTACCTGTGCAGGTTTGCAGCTGCCACTCAGGTGTTCAAAAGTCAGGGACTTACTCTAGTACCCATGGGAATGTTCACTTTTAAAAATGTAAAATGCACTTTCCCAGTGAATTTAAGCATGTCAGAAAAGTTGTCATTTAAATTCAGGGTTCAGGCTCCCAAATGCCAGTTAATGATAAAGTATTCGGTGATCCCCAATAAAATAAAAAATGACAGAATAGTAGTAGTGAGATTTTACACATTTGTTCAATTTAGAAAATTTATCATTATTCTAGGATTCTTTACCCTTTGTTGATCATATATTCTTCCATAAAATTATGGTTATGGGAAAGTGGTAGTTTGGAATCTTTTTACTAATTTCCTCTTGCAACAAAATTGAAGGAACCCTATGTCGGTCACCATTTTGAGAAATTACTAGCCTATAACAGCTAGAAATCTGGATACTGTATTTTTGTTGCTTTTAAATGTAGGGGCCTGGGGATTTAGCTCAGCTGCAAAGTGCCTGCCTAGCAAGCGCAAGGTCGTGAGTTCGGTTCCCGGTACCGGAGAAAAAACAAAAAACAACAAAAAAAAAACTTTTAAATGTAATAATTATTTGAGAGTTGCAGATTAATTATTCATAATCATTATCATCGTTTTATTTAATTTTCTCTCTAAAATTTGCTTGTAGAAATCATTTGCCTAAAGTGAAAAGGATCCAAACAGCTTATTATCTAGATCTTTTGCCTGTAGGAAATGTATCTTGGATGTAGTTGAAAAGACTTGGTTCACTTGTTTTTCTATTTTAGGGTAAACACTGTATCCTCGATGTGTCCGGAAATGCCATAAAGAGATTACAGATTGCACAGCTTTATCCAATATCCATTTTTATTAAGCCCAAATCCATGGAAAATATCATGTAAGTTTGAATGCCTAATATGTCATCTCTAAGCACAAATCTAGTTACTGTTGAATAATTTATGTACCCTTCCTGCATCTCAGTTTATCTATAAAATGGAGATTATAGTAGTATGTGTGCCCACCTTACAGGGTATACACACCAGCAGATGAGGATTAAATGCACACTGTATGATGTTAACCACACTTGTCACTGTCACCATCAATATTACTGAAATATTAGATGCATCTGTAGAATTTTAAATAGCCATGTAGCTAAGAGCAGTCATTGAGTTGTGTAGTGTGGCCCTAACAACCATTCAGAGAATAAACAACATACTACTGCATAATAGAGGGCAAAAACCCAACCTAAACCAAAATTAAAAGAAGAAAACAGTAAATAGAAACATAGAACACATGGTTCAAAACTATATGGACAGTAGGAGAGTATAAGTGAACTCAAATATTTCAGTAAGTAGACTGCTTTCTGTTTATTGCCAGAGTACATGCTAGATTAAATGTTCTAATTAAAAGGCAAAATTTGTCAGAAAAGATGAAGAAAAACACAGTTACGTTGTTTTCTTGAGCTACTCTTTTCATTTTAGACTATGGAAAGGTTGAAAATAAGAGAATACCTAAAGATATACCACACAAACATTAACCAGAAGTAGACTAGCTTTTCATTACTGTCAAAGTATACATTAGGGCCAGGGATATAACTAAGTGACACAAGCACCTTCCTGGCAAGAACATCATCCTGAGTTCGATTCCCCATACCACAAAAAAAGTATTACTAAAATTAAAAAGGTACAGTATATTTAATGAAAAGGAAGAATGTAGGACCAGGGATATAGCTCATTGGCACAACACCTGCCTGGCAAGCCCAGAGTCATGAGTTTGATTCCCAGTACCAAATAAAACATTCTAGCCAGGCATGGTGGTGCACACCTGTAATCCCAGCACTCAGGAGGCTGAGGCAGGAGTATCGTTGCGAGTTTGAGACGAGCCTGGGCTACTAAGTGAGCTCAAGGCCAGCCTGGACTGCATAGCAAGACCCTGTCTCAAAAAAGACAAAAAAATAATAAAAATGAAGGATATATCCCATCAGGAAAATACATGTGTACAGTTGTTTGCACTTGATAGCACAGTCTCAAAATAGTAAAGCACAAATCAACAACTATTTTGGGGAACAAAGATAATTCCAAAATCATAGGGAAACCTAAGACACCTACCCAGGAAATAATCACATTAAAAAATCAAAGATACAGAACTACACAAATTTAAAAGTTTCTTATAGAGCCAGGGCTATAAATTTATGGAAGAGCAGCTTAGCATGTGCTAAGGCCTGTGGGTTAAGTCCCCTGTACCACAAAGGAAAAAGTTCTGGGGCTAGACAGAACAGAATAAAAGAGGTTGGGTGCATCACAAAAGAGGATCTCCAAATAATCACACCAGAAGTCCATCTCACTACCTGCAGAACAATCATATGGCAGCATCTGTCTGATAATTGTTTTGAAACTCTGGAGTCTAAAAGCTTGCAGCTCCCATAACAGGCAGCCATACTTGTATTCCTTGAGCACCTGGCACACAATTTGTGAGACCCAGCATGGGCAGCAGGACCCTGGTCTCCAAATGCCAGGGATCCATAGGTATGATACCGGATTGCTGCTTCTGATCTTGGAGGTACACAGACCAAGGCAGTAAGCTGTCATTGCCTGTTCCTGCCCCCGAGGGTAAAAGAACTCCAAGGATTTAAAGGATCAGCACCTTTTCCCCCTTTTGATGGCCAGTCCAGGACATTCAGAAGTAACCACATATACAGGAGGGATCTGTAGAGTTATTATGTATTACTAGGGAAAGACACAGTCTCAGAAAACGCCTGAGAAAACCCTAACTGTACACCTCAAGCCAATCCTCAGCCCAGAAATACTGCACACAATAAATAAATTTTAAATAATAAAATTTATTGACCAGCAAGCCCTGGGGAAAAGGGAAAGTTTGATCTCTAGAATTGTCACGTAATAAGACTCAAATGTCTGGTTTTCAACCAAAAAAACCCACAAATCATACAAAGAAACAGTAAAATATTGCCCATTCAAAGGAAAAATAAGTTAATAGAATGGTTTCTAAGAAAGACCAGGTGTCAGACTTACTAGACAAAGACTTTTAACTGTTTTAAAGATGCTGAAAGAACTAAAAGACATGGATATGGTCAAAGAAATGATACATGAGCATAATGGAAATACCAATAAAGAAAACCAAAAAAAGAAAAAAATTCTGGACCTGATAAGAATAGTAACTGAATTGTTTTTAATTCACTGCCGAGATTCCACAGCAGATTTGAGTGGGCAGAAGAATCAGCTAATTTAAATATAGGACAATGGTTGGGTACATGTCTGTAACTCCAGCCCTCAAGAGGCTGAAGCAGAAGGTTGGCCAGTTCATTTCTGCCTGGGTTAGATAACAAGACTGTATCTCAAAAAAAAAAAAGAAGAAGAAGAAGAAAAGCCAATGGAAATTACCAAGTGTCAGGAATAGAAGGAAACCAGCCAGGCATGGTGATGCACGCCGTAATCCCAGCACCCGGGAGGCTGAGACAGGAGGATTGTTGCGAGTTTGAGATCAGCCTGGGCTACAAAAGTGAGCCTGAACTGCATAGTGAGACCCTGTCTCAAAAAGACCAAAAAAAAAAAAGAAAGAATGGAACAAACATTGAAGAAAAGTGAACAGAGCTTAAGTGAACTGTGGAACACTCAAGTAGACTACACATTGTGGGAGTCCCAGAAGTGAGGAAGAATTTGAGGTTATTTGAAAAAATAATGATGAAAAATTTTCCCAATTTTGATAAAAGATACAAATACAGACATCCAAAAAGTTAATGAGCTGCAAACCTAATAAACTCAGAGACCCTCCCTAAGGCATATTATAATCAGACAGTTGGAAAACAATCTTGAAAGCAGCAATCATTGGCTTACCACATACATAAGATTTTCCTAGTAAGATTGTCAGAATTGTCATCAGAAACTTCAGAAATCGGAAGGCAGTGGATTAATGTGTTAAAAGCACTGAGGAAAAAAGTGTTAATCAAGAATCCCATAGCTGGCAAAACTGTTCTTCAGAAGTGAGAGAGAGGCCGGGCAGGGTGGCGCACGCCTGTAATCCCAGCACTTGGGAGGCTAAGGCAGGAGGATCGTTGCAAGTTCGAGACCAGCCTGGGCTACAAAGTGAGCTCAAGGCCAGCCTGAACTGCACAGTGAGATCCTGTCTCAAAAAGACAAAAAAAAAAAAAAAAAAAAAAAAAAAATGAGAGAAAGAGAAATCAGGTCAGTCTCAGATCACCAAAACACTGAGGAAGTTCATTGCCACTAAATCTACTCTGCAAGAAATTCTCAAGGGAGTCCTGCAGGGTGACAGAACATTCGATAATTGCTATGCAAGATTCAAAAGAAAATATCATACTTAATGGTGAAATATTGAAAATTTTCCCTCACAAATTAGGAAGAAACCCTCATAAACCCCTCACCAGCTACATCAAATTTACCAGCTTACGTTCTTGTTTTACCTATTCTCCACCTCCTTACCCCTCCACTCCAGATTATTTTGAAACAAACCTCCACATACCATTTCATCCATATATTTAATGTATATTTGAGTGGTGTTTATTCAGAAACATCACTACTGTGATTCTCATACATAAAATAACAATTTGATATCATCAAGTGATCAGGGTTTCCTGATTATTTTATAGAAGTTCGTTGTTCTTTCTTTGTTTTGTCTTTTTGAGACAAGGTTTCCGCACACTTTGTAACCTAGGCTGGCCTTGAACTCGCAATGATCCTCGTGCTGTGCACCACCATGCCCAGCTAGGTTTGTTTTTATTTTTGTTTTTTGGGTATTTTTTGATTTATTGAGACAGGATCTCACTGTGCAGTTCAGGCTGCGCTTGAACTCACTTTGTAGCCCAGGCTGGCCTCAAACTAGCAGTCGTCCTGCCTCTGCCTCCCAAGTGCTGGGGTTACAGGTGTGCACCACCACGCCTGGCTAGGTTTGGTTTTTTTAAATGCGTTTATTTCACAAAGTTCCAATAAGATTTATTCATGACAGTTCATTAAGTTTTTTAATCTTCAGATTCTCCCTCCTCCTCCATCTCCCTGCCCCTCACCACAATTACTTGGTGAGGAAACCAAGTCATTTCTTCTGTAGCATTTTCCTCAGTCTCTATTTTCTGATTGTCTTTTCATGGTGTTAATGACATCCACATATCCCCTTTATTTTCTCTATATTAGTAGGTAAATCTTAGTGAGAGATTTTTGTTGATCAAGACTGTCATGAATTAATCCTTAGAGAGCTTGGGGGGCTCCTTTGACCCATTTCAGAATGTGAAAACCCTTTTTTTGTTTCAAATATAAGCCACATATTCAGTGGCTAAATCTGTTAATGACATTCATGTTTTCCACAGAGCTCAGTTCTTTACGATTTTATATTTTATGTGTCTTCTCTCCTTCCATCTTTTTCTAAAAATATTATAATATGGTAAATACCGGTTTCTAAATTTATTTGCATAGGGAAATGAATAAGCGTCTGACAGAAGAACAAGCCAGAAAAACATTTGAGAGAGCCCTGAAACTGGAACAGGAATTTACTGAACATTTCACAGGTTGGTACCATGTGTGACAGTGTCCTTTATAATAGACTGTTGCTTTGAAGCCCCTTGACCTAATCTATTCAAATATATTTTGACATATGTCCACATCTCCGACAGCAACTGATACTAACATTTTCAGAATAAACTCTTAAGATCTGTGATTTTGTTCTGTAGGAAATTCATCTAGCCCAGGCAGTGGTAAGTGGGGAGTCTTGAAATTTAGTATTTCTTAGGTTGTTGATTAGGACAGCATACATAGAAGTGAGTTCATATTTGACCAGAGAAAAGTATGGTCAAAGTCGATTTGAGTTCTTGTATGAAACTCTGGCTAGTATCTTTCATAAATTTTTTTATTCATTTCTTTCTGGCTATATTGAGCTATAATTAACCATTATTTATATTTGGTGTGTACAATGTGAACTCATATGCATATACATAGTATATTGATTCCCGCAATCATTTAACACATCTGTCCCCACACAGTTACCATTGCAGATTACCAATAATTCCCCCAGAACTTACTATTCTTACAACTGGAAGTTTATACCTTTTGACCAACATCTCCCCATATCCCTTCCCCTTTCTACTCTCTAAGACATGTCTATACTTAGCTCTAAATGTGAACTCTCATGATTCAGTTAAATACTAATTTTTGATTAATCAAGCATTCTTACTATAAATGTTACAAGACCTCCCTATCCATGGCACATCCTTTCACTTCTTTTCCCTTCAGTCCTGAGTATTGAACCCAAGGCCTTGCATGTAGGTAAGCACTCTACCACTGAACTATTCCTCTAGCCCCATACTGTACATAATCTCAGTCATCAAATAGATAATTTTACTTAAAATTTCGATTTGGGGCCAGGGATGTAGCTCAGTGGCATAAGTGCCTGCCTGACAAGTGCAAGGTCCTGAGTTAGATTCCTGGTACAAAAAAAAAAAATCTCCATTTAGAGTTTAATTCTAGGTTTTTGAGACCATGAAAATCTGTGTCTATGACGCTCTTCCAAAACCATGGAGCATCATTTGGTAGTTTGATGATTTATCAGATATAACGTTTAATTCTTTCATTGATATGTAAGCATTCGCTGTTTTTTTAAGTTGCTCATGCTTAATGCTTTCTGGTAAGACTTAGTTTTTGTTACTGCTTGTTTTATTACTTCGCAGTCCTCAGGGACTCCACAAAGTAGTCCCAAAGATAATAGTTATCAATTTTTATTTATGTATTATTTCAGACTGCAGATAAACTATGCAGCATAGATTTTTAATAGTTCCTAACCACTCACAGCCCGGATTATATATTTCAGTTCCCCTCTACTCCACTCCTTTCACGTTGAATCATCTCACTCCAGAATGCTGGAGAAAGTAATGCCAACCTATAACCAGCTCTTTCCCCCAAAATCAAACCACCAAAAATAAAACAGAAAAGTAACCATGCTTGCCTTCTCTGGCATGGGACCCACTCTCCTTTCCTTTGTAGACTATGGAGAAATAAGGAAAGTTAAGGAAATAGGTAATTAGTTTTAAAAGAATAAAATCAACTGGGCGTGGTGGCACATGCTTGTAATCCCAGCACTTGGGAGGCTGAGGCAGGAGGATCGCCGTGAGTTCAAGGTCAGCCTGGGCTACATAGTTAGTTTGGGGCCATCCTGAACTACATAGCGAGACCTTGTCTCAAAAAACAACAACAACAAAAAAAAGTAAAAGAATAAAGCCAAGGGCTGAGAGTAACCTCAATGGTAGCGTGTATTAAGCATGTTTGAGAGCCTAGGTTCAATCCCCAGCACCACCAAATCAATGAGTAAATGAAGCCAGTATGCACTCACATGATAAACAAAACAAACAGTAAACAAGAGAAAAAAGTCTCATTTTTTATCAGTTTTTAAAATAAAAATTCGTGCATTACACAGATAGTAAGTTTAATGTCACTAAACAAACCATGGATAAATGGTATGAGTAATTAGGTCACATTTCAGCATCTACTGCTTCACTAATAATTGTGTTGGCAAAGATACACAGTTAATAGAGATTTCTGTTTTTTCTTTCTCTTATTGCAGCTATTGTACAGGGCGATACGCTGGAAGACATTTACAACCAAGTGAAGCAAATCATAGAAGAGCAGTCTGGTCCTTACATCTGGGTTCCAGCGAAAGAAAAGTTATGAGGACTGATGTTTCTCTACTTCTCTTTTCCACAGTCTCATTTTCTTTGACACTTCCTTGCCCTTTCCTTTTGGAGTTTGTCTGTAGTACTCCTTTCACGTTGAATCATCTCTCACTCATCATGGTCTGCGCTTGTGCTTATTTTTGACATCTACTGTCTCCTTCACATTGCATCATCGGTATTACTCTACGTCACCATTGGTCCCTGGCCATTTTCCTGAACTGAAGACGGATGGCCTGACCAGCTGTTAGGGTCTGGGGAGATGCAGAAATTGTGGTAAAATTCCTTAATGTTTAAGGGAAAGTAACTTTTAAGAGATTTTTCAGGATAGCTTTGTATACATCCTTTTGAAATTTTAGTACAAGTGAAAGAAGTGGTTTTAATCAGTGATTCAGTAGACTTTGAGCAACTATGCACGCTTAACTTTAATAGCATGGTTTGGCCAGTGTATTGGCTCTCAAGTCCTTTTCCCAGTCGACTTCCATATCAAGGCAATTACTTCATTAAGACAAGTAAGAAAAATATTTCTTTTATTTCAAAATTAATGTCTGTGTTCTTTCATAATTTCACAAAGGATATTCATTTTTCATAGAGTTCTTTAAGTCTTCTATTGTTCGAGTTTTTCCACCCCCATACATTAGTTAGGAGTAGCCGTGTTCACATGTTTTTAATCTACTTGTGCAGCACTATTTATAGTGTCTCAGAAGTTGTTCGTACATAATGATCATCTCATTTCCTGAACTAAGATCATGTTGAGGTGGTAGGGAGCTCACCTTTTACGCTAAAGGATGAGAAAACGTTATAGGCATAAATGCAGAAAAAGAAACATGACAGTGGAGATGTAGTAATCATCATGCCAGTGGAAAAGGAGTCCAATTCATAGTCTAAAATTTTAATTGTATTCTTAGGGGTCAGATTTTAATGAATATTTTACCCACAATAACTGCCTATTTTGTTATAATAAAATATATATATAAATATATATATATATATATATAACTTTCTTTAAACTCTGTAACTATGGAATTATTTTCTTTACATAGTTGCATACACACAAACATATATTTAAAGTATATTTTTTCTTTTGCCACCTACTCTTTTTTGTTTGGTTTTTAAATTAAATATTAATTGATGAGATCGTCTTTAATCTGTGAGCTGAACGCAGGGGTCTGGTGGTTGTGAGGAGAAGCCTCGAGGGTCATTAGACTGCAGGTAAAACAGTGAGCATGTTCTCCTCTTTTCTACAGCATTTTTCAAAAGGTTCTTGATTTTTTTTTGTCATCATTGTTCTTGTCCTTGGGTTTGGTTTTGGTCCTCTGCCTTTCCTCCTAGTTCTCCTCCTTTCATTAACAGCAGACAGGTGAAAGCCCCTTCCTGTGCAGGTTTCCCCTCAGCTGCCCTCACCTTGTGTAGCTGCTCTGCGCTAGGCTTGCACAGGTCTTCATGGTGAGCAATTTTAAGAAATTTTAGTAAAAGGTAGAAATGAGTTCAGAAAATTTCTCTGGTCCTTTTTATTAATACTATCATTTGGCTTCTCATTGCTCTTTGGAGTTGTTTATTAAATATGTGATTTTTGACAACCTCCTCATTAAAATTTCTTAAATGAATACTGGTTTGTAAAGAATAATGAACATTATCCATTCCATTTGTGAGAAAGAGGAGAACAGCTAATAAACTTTATTGTAAAATCCACGTTAAATGTGTCTTGAGTTTTGAAAGAAAAATTATTGTAGAAGCTAATGTTTTCTTGGAGCAGTTTGGTACATTATATAATTTGTAGCCTGAATTCAGTAACTACTTGGCATTGTATTATAGCTCTCACAGTAAATGTAGCAGATTGGTACCAAATGTAAACATTCTAGAAGAGAATTACCAAATCTCAAGAGCTCCAGAAATACCTTATGAGGTATTTTGGAGTATTTACCAAATAATCACATGTTGTAAATATCAACAAATTATAAAATGATGCTACTTATGTGTTAAAATCTGCGGTACATTGCTTTCTGGATTTTGGGGTGGGGGGTGTTTGTTTTTTAAACTGAGTATTGAATGCAGGGCCTTTACACCGAGCTACATCACTGTATCCCCAGCCTTTTTTTGGTTTGTATTTTGGGACTGGTTTTCACTAAGAAGTCACTAAGTTGCATAGGCTAGGCTCAAACTGGTGGTGCTCCTGCCTCAGCCTCACAGAGTAGTGAGATTACAGGTGTGTGCCACTACACCCAGCTTGAGTATCTTTATTAAGTGATTTTTTTTGGTAAGAAAATACTTTTGTGTTTGAGATGATACCGTTATTAATGAAAGTATTAATTTTTAATAATAAGGGAAGTTGTTACCAGCTGTGCTGTGTTCAGATCCAAGGCTCTCTGTCCCAAGCGTACATTTTTCCAGTACGCTGTGCCGCCTCATCTCCAGCTCTTAGTGTGTAGGGCATGTGACTTAAATTACCGTAGTTCCTGTTCACAAATAAGAGCTTTAGGTGCAGGTCCTTGCCTAGAGTCACACAGTTAGGACAGGCTGATAAGTACGTCACTCTTAACGGAGCTGAAACAACTGAGAAACAACCCAGCCTGGCACTGTCACAGTGACATACAAGAAAGACTCCTCTTCAGGACCAAAATTGAAACAACATTCATTAGGAAAAAGTCCATTATTCTGATGCACAGAGAATTAAGAGTACAGTTTCATATACTTAGGAAATAGTCCATGTTTTATATGCATCTTAATGTCCTTAAATTGGCAGAAAGAAAAACGCCTCAAAAATGTAGCAACACATTTCTGATTGCTTTCCTGTTCCATGACTTTCTGTGACTCCCCAATGAATGGTGGGCTGTTTAATCCCAGAGACTTGAATTACTGATGAAAAAGTAACCGATGCTTATCATATTTCATTGAGGAATTTGCATTTTGAAATATATCAGAGAAACATTTGGTGTCATTTTTCCGCCCCGGGTTTCAGTCATCTGATGTTTTAGTCCAGTCTCAGGGATCGCATCTCCCTCCCTCCGGAGGCACGCGGTGCAGCGCACACTGACTTGGGCAGCAGTGTCGTGTAACGTGAGACTGTGAGCTGTGGAATCAGCTGGGTCTGCATGGCAGCCCTGCCACTGTTACGTAACCTTGAACAAGTCGCATCGGCCCTGCTGTGTGCTTCTCTAAAACAGAGATACTTTGCAGGTCAGTGAGATTATAAGCCAGTGGGGCTAGCACATTGTATACACTAAGTTAATTCCCTTTTCCTTTGGGGTGAGAAACCTGAAATTCTACAATTAACCTGATCATTTTTTTCACCATAGTTGAAATGAGGTTTGAATACACTGCAGAACTGTTACAAGGTTAAAATGGTGTATATAAAACACCAGTCACATCTTCTGATACTTCACATTAAACACCCATTCCTCTGACTCAAGTGTTTATGGTTGGTAGCCAAGGACTGAGAATACGGTTCACCATTTTTCACTTCATGGAGAGAGCTTCCCTGCTGTAGACTTTAGCTAGGAAATTATTCACATTTCAGTCCCTCTAATCACAGTTTACTGATCTCTTATCCTGAAGATCCTTGTGGGCTGTGTGTTATGACCTGTTGCTGTGAGTTGTCACCCACCCATTACTCCAAACATGGGACTAGAAGACATCTTGGCTTCCTAAACTGCCCTAGTGTCAAAGTTCTACACCCAGCAGTCACTAGCCGTTCTCTAGAACGTTAATTATTGAAAGTCTAGAAACGGGTAAGACAATAGAGGAAAAAATATTACATAAGACACCCAAAGTTTCTCATTCATTTTGACTGTCACTGCTTACTTTCTACTTTCTCAGTGATTTTCCACCTTAGCTCTTTTTCCATTCCTCTTTAAATATGGCTAAGAGCTGGTAAAATAGCAAACTCTTATCTACTGAGCAACATTGTGAAAAAGAATTAGTCAAGTAACTGTTTTTGCAGGGGATTAGGGAACAGGTTCCACACCACCAGGGACAGTTTCACACTATGCTCTTCCTAGCTCAGTGATGGTGAAGCTTCTAGAACTTCGTAGCGTGCATCCCATAGGTTTGCCCCCGCTGTCCTGGTGTCTCACTGATCATTGTAGTTAGCAGATATGAGAACTGGAGGAGTAACAGAAGGATCAAGGCTAGAGTTTTTATTCTACTTTTTATTGAAGTATGGCATGTACATACATTATGGCTTGTGTCTAGATGTCCCTCTAGAGCCTCATGCAGTCACAGGTGGGGCTTTTGCAGAGGTGGCTGGATCTAGATGTGTGACTGACTAATTCATGGTGCATTGCTAGGATTAAGGGTGTGTGATTACTGAGTCAGTGCACTGATTGGTTTGGCGCTGCACTAATCCTGGTAGCCTGGATATAATATGAGGGACCGAAAGAGGCTTGTCTTGCCCATTGCTTGGTTTGCCACCTTCTGCCCACCATGCGCTGTATGTCTATGATGCCTGTCTGCCGTCCCACCCTGCCTTGGAGCCAGCTATCTACTGAAACCCCTACAAACCATGCGCCAAATAAACGGTCCTCCCTTACCTTTGGGCATCAGGTATTTTGTCTCGGTAACAAGAAAAGTGACTAAGACAACGTGTGTGAATAAGTGTGTATCGTATATCTCAGTTTTTACAAGCTAGCATCACTATTTAATCAGCACAGAGCTCAAAATACAGACGAAAGCCACCAACTTCCTCCTAGTCACTACTTCCCCCGGAGAAAACCACTATCCTTTCTCACATTGTTTTTTAAATTGGGCTACAGCAAGATTTAGTCTCGTATAGTTTTGAGTTAGGACACACGCATATAGTCACATAAGCCCCACCCTAAACACAATGCACAGCAGTTTCCGCATGTCAAGAAATTCTCAGACTTGTCCCGAGGTGACCAGTACTCACTCCCACCCGCAAGCCTATGGACTTTGATTGCCTTTCCCTGGATGCCATATAAGTGGAATCAAATCATGTGTAGAGTTTTGGAGTGGCTTTCTTCCCTTTGCAAAGGCTTCATAGATTCATATTGCCAGGTTATTGATAACTTGCTTTTATTGCTGATACTCGGTTCATGGCTGTACCAGTCTGTCCATCCATTGGCTGAAGCGTTCCGGGGTTGCTTTCCATTTTTCCCACTATCGCCAGCAAGAACAGGGAACAGCAGGCAAAAAGGGTTTCTGAGGCTGAGAATCCTAATAGGCGCTCTCCACCTCACCTCCACCAGTGCCGTGAGCGGCCACACCTCGTGGCACTTTCACAGATAAAGTTGAACCTAGGCTAATCAGTCCCCAGGGCCTGTTCACAGAAGAAATTGTGGGGCTGGGGATTTAGCTCAGTGGCAAAAGCGCCCGCCTGGCAAGCGCAAGGTCGTGAGTTCGGTTCCCAGTACCGGAGAAAAACCAAAAAAAAAAAAAAAAAAAACAGAAGAAATTGTGCCTAGAGCGAGAGACATTGAGGAGGAACACTTAAGATTTCGAAGGCCTCAGCTGTATCAGACTGGAGCCAGAGTGCTGCTTCTGTTGTCCTGAAAAAACAGGACAGCTTCTTAAATAAAATAAGTTAGACAGCAGTGGTAGGGTTTAATAAATATATACATAGCCTTTTTTAAGTAACATAAAATGTTGGATAAAATGAAAGCATTTTAAATAACACCCTGTGTAATAATTCTCTTTGTATATAGTTGTCATCCCTTAGGGTTGAAGGACAGGTTGATTCCAGAATCCCCTGCAAATACCAGAGTGTGCAAAAGCTCCAGTCTCACAAAATATATGGGATGTGCATATAATAAGCACAGCCTTCCAAGTGCTTGCAGCCATCTCCAGATTACTTACAATACCTACCTCAAGGTGAATGCTTTCGTCTTCAGATTTTGGTACCCACTGGAGGTCCTGGAACCCCCATGGGTACCAAAAGACAGCGGTGGCCTCCACAATTGAAAACAAGCTATTAAAGGAGAGAAGGCCTTGAGCATTTCTGAAAA